AAGTTTAATACAATCCATTATACATTGACCCACTTGTAACCTATTGTACAGCAGAGCGACATCCACTTACCCGCTTTTTTAATATTGGAGGATAACATAAATTAAATTTTTAGCATTGGTTTCCTGTAGTATGCAATAATATTAAAATATATGGTAGGGGAGAGTGGGGCAGATTTGAATGCGGGGTACATTTGAATTTGTCTAATATAATTTGTTACAGATTATTTACATTCATAAAAATAATAATCTAAGTTGGTGACAATATTTTGTATACCATATGTGATTATCAGGCATTTTTGAATAATTGTGTGATAAATAAAAATGATAATGTGATTTTCCGGCTTTTTTAAAAAAAAAATAGGTGTTTCCATAAGAACATTTTGGAAACTAAAATTCAAAATAATAAGTTTAGAATTAAATATACCCAGGGGCGGACTGGGCCGGCGGGATACCGGGAACTTTCCCGGTGGGCCGCTACTCAAAAATAATTAGTTACCTATATTATTTATTTATAACAAAATCAGTAGGTATAAATATAAATTATAAATATTTTGTATTTTCATATCATAACTGTTGAGTGTGCAAAATGTTTATATTATATTTGGTGTTAAAGATTTTAGATTTCGGTTCAGCTGGTTGACCAGCCCCTCGGCATCAATGCATAAACAGAAATTATTATTTAAAACTACTAGGGTGTGAATTTGAAGATAAATTGCATTTTTTTCTGGATTCTCTTAAACATTGCTTTCCAATCAAAAAATGTATTTCATACATAAAATAATTTAAAAATTAAATTTTTATTTAGCATTTTTTTAACTTTACTGATTTATAGAACATTTTTTTGACGTTTTTATGACATTTTTATCGTTTGAAGAAATTTTTCGTAAATTTTTTAAGTATATATACAATTTTATAAACACTATTAGCTTAAGTTCCTTCAAGAAATTTAATATAATTAAAAATCATTTTTTCTTACTAATATTTCTATTTTATTACGTTTTATTTTATTTTGTTTGCTCCAATGACTTCAGTTATACAAAACAACACTTGCCAATTCTAACTGTCAAAGTTTTTTATTCAAAAATATTGATTAGCTTCTGATTGAAAAGTGATTATAATGAAACACAATATATGACGACTAACGACTAATGACTATACCTATTTAAGTTCTATTTTATTTTCATTTAAATTGGCTTTTCATTTTTCTGGGCATTTTACTAAGCTTTGTAATATTGTTACTGTGCATAAAATCGTATTTTTAAGGCATTGTTTTTTTTATTGCATTTATATCCATGCCCTATTTATAACTTAATATGACTTTATTCTACAGTCGATTAATATATCCACTTCTAGCCAGCCAGTATTTACTTAATATAACTAACATTAAATTGTACACAATAAAAAATATAATATAAATATATTGTACCTACATAATAGTAAAATATAAAAGATAATTTGTGATAATTCGATGGGAATTAATAAACTGATAACTAAAGGTACAGTTTCGTACGTTCAATGTAACGTCCTTAATTCAAAAAAGTGAATTCTTGAACTTCTTTTTTATTTTATTGTAGTGTACTAGTGTATCGTTTGATGATTTTGTAATATTTACTTATCTATTTGTTGCTTAAAATGGAAACTAAAAGAAAGAGTGGGGTTGAGAAAATCAGAGAGAGAGAGAAGGATACTCTTAGAAAAATCAAGTTAAAGTAGTTTAAACGAACCTATTTTTTTCATCCGTTATGGATCACTTATAGAGTAGGTAATAGAAAAAGTGATATATACATAATACTGTGCAGTACATTTAATTAAGATAAAATACTAAATAGGTACATTGAGAATCTTAAGTTGTCTCCTGAGGAAATTAAAAATGAGTAGGTGGAGGATGCAACCATTATTTGTCAAAACTTTGGTACCATATTTAAGTCTTACATTTAGTGATGACGACATTTTAAGGGCCGGTCAAAATATAAATTTCCCGGGCCGAATAGTTGCCCCAGTCCGTCCCTGAATATACCTATTCAAAATATTGTTGCCTAGTAATACATTTAATGTACATACATTATTTATAATTATTAAAATTTATATTACGATTATTATTGATTATTTTGGCATGGGGTAGATTTGAATCTTCATCAATAGGGTAGATAATAGGGTGTAATAAAGGTTCCTCCTTTTTGAAATATCTATCTTATGGATGGAATATACTAGTTAACTTGATTTATGTCACAAGATGTGGATTTATCTATAAGAAAACCCAAAAATACTACATTTTCACAATAAAAAAAAAATTGACAAGAAAACATCTAAACATAATTGTAAAAAATTGTTATTATATTATATTGAGCTATTTTTATTATTAAAATAAATAAAAAGTTTAATTTAATTTAATATTTAACATTCAAATGTGGCTTTTAAGACACATATTCAAATCTACCCCCTGCACGTTCAAATGTACCCCATGGGTGGGGCACATTTGAATAAAAATATACTTCACTTCATAATTAGAAATTAAATTGGTTATTTAATATATAAGGTTGTTATAAGTCAAATAGTATTCACAACTATCTAGACTACAGATTGTAATTATCAAATATAAAATTTGTCAAAAAATTAAAAATTAAAAAAATAAAATGTAAATTTCATTCAAATCTGCCCCACTCTCCCCTACCTATATATTGTATTTAATTCCTTAGTTCTTATAGAACAAATACATATTCGAAATGATATTGAGGCCTGAGGGGAGATTATTTATATACCTACCTACTATTGAATGAGTAAGAATTAATATTTAATATTATGTTCATTAGGTACCATTGCAAATGATTAATGCGGCTGAAAGTCAGACACCCTTAAAATGAAAAAATATAATTAAAATAAAAACTTTTGTCTCAATAAGTTTAACCATTGATTATAAATACTAGTAGGTAAGTACTCTTTTTAGTTTTTTATTTACTCATGTTTAATTATTATCTACATTCATATAATGCAGTGTTGGGTAATGTGTAGTAATGTAACGAAAGTAACGTGTTACGTAATTTCATTAGAATTATTTCCAAGTAACAAAAATGTAATACTTTTGAAAAGTAATTTCAATAGAATAACTCTTTACAGTTTCGAATTATTAAGTACCTACCTATTGCGAATTGAAAACAAAATATTTATATAATGCGGTTATTATTATGTTTACCAATCTAATATGTATATATATTTAATTTTAACTCGGCACAATTCAGTTTTTAATGGTTTTGACATTTTATATGTCTAATTGCACCTAAATCACGAGAATAGTTAATTAAATTTGTTATTCAATTTGATTCCTTAAGATAGGTTTCCTATGAATAGCTTGTGTGGAAGACCAACTTTTATACGATCCTTTTAACTATACATGTTTTATAAAGAATTTGCTTGTTCAATTTGCCAGCAGAAGATAATTACCAAGAAATTTAAAATTTTTTTTTTTTAAAACAATAAGTAATGAGTTACTTTTCTATTTGAGTAATGAGTAAAGTAACTTAAATACTTTTTAAAAGTAACTTACCCAACACTGATATAATGTTATACATTATATAATTCATATAATCAATCGAAAAAAAAAACGTATAATAATATAATATGGAAATTTAAAATTCCGGACAAATAGTTTTAGAACTTACTATTTTTTTTTATAAACTGTAGAACATTCCCCCCTGCATATTTCATAATTGCCTAATTGTTTACTTTTTTCAAAATTATTTCAAGTATAATGACTTTTTTCAAACAAATAAATTGATTAAATATTTTAAATGAAATCTGAGAAAGTCTGTTCAAGTATTAGAAAATATTCTTGAATGTTTACAGTAGACTTAAAAATTGGCTAAAAGCTAATTGCAGCCTTTGATAAAATACTTTTTTAATGTATTTGGAATAAATACTCGAATACTAATGAAAAATAATGTTCCAAATAGTTCAAAATATTAAAAAATGAGACGTCTTTGATAAAATTTGAAATCATAGCCAGTGTTAAAATATATTGTATTTTTAAATTATATAACTGACCACTGTAATAGATTTATAAAATAACAATAAATATTTAGTTTTTAAAGAATATTAATAATTAAAATTAAAATGTTTTAAGAACTATAGTCTATAAAGGACTCAGAATACAATATTAAATAATTATGTGAAACTGTATTCTTGACTAGGTTAGGTTAGGACTATAACTGCACGTCTGCACTAGTACAAGTCTGCCCGATTGCATATTATTACAACTAACCTCTGACATAAATAACAAGTAATATCAACAACTAAATTAATTCAGTTTTAGATTGCTATAAGTGACAAGTGTTAAAACCTAAGTTATTTAGAAAATATTATTTTAAATATGAGTTTAAACAAAAATAAAATAAGTTAATGGAAATAGAATGTAACAGAGATAAACAATATTACAATTTTTTGGCAATATTATATAATTAGAACAATTTAATATTTATGTATAATATATCAAATTACTTTTGGATAAAATGGCTTAGAAGTCTTCTTCATGCGCTTGGGTTTTGAGGAATGACTGTAATATTGTGACCCTTAAAAACCAATTAGGTATTGAGGGAGAAGATAGATTAGTAAGGAATTTAATTCTTACAAGGGTAAACTTCATTCTAATCATAATTAAGTCAAAATAAAATAAAATATTGTAAATCCAAATCAGACATTATCAACTCTTATTTATTTTTTAAATAGGTCAATTACAGAACATTTTTGGTAAATTCTACTATTGTGTATTTATGTCTATTGATACCATTCTCAAAAAAAAAAAAAATTATTAATTTAATAAACAAAACAATTTCAATCAACACATTAGAGTTCAAATTTAAAATTTTAAAAGAATAAGTTACTTTAAACTACATAATATTATTAATTAACAACTAACTACAATAACTGCACAGTATATAACATTAAACAGTAATTATATATTGAATTAATTTATTTCATATGAAAAAATGTTTTTTTAGGAATACAAATTATAAGTTATCTTGATTTCCATACCATGGTTTTTTTATATGAGATGGGTTATTACGCATAAAAATTGTAGTTTTTGGAGTAGAATCCGGTTTTAAAGTCCTCCAATTATCTTCATCCTTATTCTTCACAGGATTCACAACCTGCTTATAATTGTTATGCGTCCACGATTCTTTACGTTCTCTGTCGTCACTATATGATGCAGTTCTAGCTTTACCTCCTTTAGTATTGTTTATAACTTTGTTTCCAAAAATGTGTTCCTTTTTTTTCATCAAACTCGAAACATATAATTTATATGATTCTAACATTTCCATAACTTCTGTAACTCTTTTTTGATCATCTGTTGACAAAGTTGTATTTCTTGAAGCTACAGAGAGTTTCTCGGACAAAACATCTAGCAAATTAACTTCTATAGTATAATTACTAAACTTGGTTCTATGTGTCTATAAACAATTTTATAATGATATTTTTAGTATAATAGATAGTTAAGTATATAAGTTTTTTCATTTACCTGCAAACTATATACACTTGTTACATTTTTAATGTTCAATAACATTGGAATGTATTTGAGTGCTCGTATGAGATCATTCTTTGTTAGAAGTAAATATGAAATAATTTGACTTAGAAGTTTTTCTTGGTGAACAGGATGAGGAAATGATTTTAACAAGTCCACCATCATTGGTTCTATTGGCGCTGTTTCTGAATTAATTTTAAAGAATGTATAAATGTAGTCAATAGAACTACCAAAGCTTTTGACATCATAAGCTTTCTTAAGATGAAAATTGGCCTTTTTATAATCCTGAAAAGAACAATAAAAAATAAATATTAAATTAAAGAAAAGTATTATATTATTTTATGAATACATTTTGATTTACTTTTTACATGATTAAGGCGGGTCGATTTTTGTGCATTTAGACCAATAAGCAAAAGAAAAAAAAATATACTTCCAGAAATCTAATTTTAATTTTGAAAAAATATTTTTTTAGGATCATTACAGTAAACTTAAATATTGCAAAAAAAAAATTATTTGGTACTATACTAATTAAACAATACAACAAATCAAAAATCAATTTCCTACAAAACCTAGAGAAGAGAATAAGGAATTCAAATGTTTTCAAAATTGAAATCAGGCTTTTGGTAGTACTGGGTGAATTTTTTTTTACTTTTATACCAGCAAGAGTTGAAACTTTTGTTAACGCAAAACATAAAGACACGTGAGTGCATCTGTGTATGTATGTACCTACGTCACGGATGTCCAAGAATCTTAGCCATAGTTTATCTTTAATTACATAATGTGTTTGGTGGACTCACACACAATAATGATCAGTCACACAGTTCTCCTGATGGACATAGAATATGCCTAAATCTAACTCCTAAAAAATGGTTTGCTTTCAACAGCCTTAAAATCAAATCTATATATATCCAATATAGCTCGCAATATAGGTAATAAGTATAGTATTGGTTATACATTTGTAATTTTAGTCATATTATATTAATATAGTAAGTTACCTTTTTATTAAACAAATAGTAGTTTCCAATTGCTCCATGAACATAACCATTATCACTATGCTCTAATGCTTCAATAAGTTGATCCAAGATGATAGTAATATCATTGTTATACTCTTTATATTGACCAAATTTCGATAAGCTAAGTAAACAACTTTTTAGCAAAAGCAAATCTTTTGTATTGTCTATTACTTCACTGAAAATATTAAAAAAAAAAATTCAAATGGTTGGAAAGAAAATAGTTAACAACTCATTTGAAAAAACTTACATTAGTAATCTTAATGCTTCTTCTAGAATTTTATTTTTGGCATTTATATTTTTATTCATGTTTTTACTCATCCGATGATATATATGAATTAAATGCAATTTATGGTGATCCTTGTTACCAAGTTTAACAGCCATTTCAGCTGCTGTAATTTCTTGTTCAGAACATTCAAAATAATTTCCACATGTTCTTTGCCAGTTCGTTAATACTTTAGCCATTAAATAATACCATTCAGCTTCAGTTCCATTTAGCGATAATGCTTTGAGTGCACAATCTTTTGCTATTTGTGCACTAGATAAACCATACTCATAAAAGAATAATGTTTGAATACCAAATAATCCAGCTTTATTGGCATTGTTCATGTTATTTGGCATAATAAAATGCTCCAATTCCTAAAAAACAACACAATATAACGTTAAACATAATAAAAATGGTTAAAATATCAATAATTAATGTAGTTGTGTCATAAGCAGAAATCCAGTCATTTATTCGTGGAGATTAAAAGTCAAATAAATGTTGTACTAATGTAAGTAAAAAGGTAATAACATTAAGTATTGAACAAACAAAGCATATTTTACAGCTATCTAATATAATTTATAACAGTTTGAAATTCAGATTTCTGCCCCCGTTTCTGCCTAAGGATTATGTTTTACAAACCTTAGTTTCATTTGAACACAATTTCAACAAATAACCTTTCATTGAAAATGTAATGTGATTGAGAGCTATCTTAATAGATTTCAAGAAGATATCATTACTTCCAATACATTTTAAAATGTTTTCAATTTCACCAATAATTTCTAAAGCTTTGTTTGCCTTTCCTTCAGCAATATATTCATAACATATGACTATGTTATAACCAAATCTGAAAAAAAAAATCAATTCAAATTAATAATTATAATACAATTAGCTTAATTTATATTTTACAATGTAGTTGCAGACGGCATACAACTAATGGCATTAATTTTTTTTTAATTTTGTTACCTTCACACAACCCCTTAACAAAACTAAATATTATTATTAGAGTGTAATAGTAATTAGAGCGAAAGCGAAATTTAAAGTGTAAATGATTTGGTGAAATGGTAGACTATTGAGAACAAGGAAACAGTTTTCCTTTAAATTGGAAATTTAAAATGCTTAAACGCATAAATTGGTTAATATTGTAATTGAAGTGTGGGATTACTCGATTAGTAGAACAGTAAGACATACTAATAGGATAATCGAGATTTTCAAGATGAGACATTTAGCAGTTATGTAGGTACAGCATCGTAACAAGGTCTTAGTCCGATAAGAGTGTGTACACATTTTGCAATTGTATCGCACGTGTACCGTACAATATACAATCAAATTTCTTTCTTGAAAATCTTGAATTGTTATTATTTGAGTAATTTATCATTTAATTAGGTATTTGAGTATTTCTGTTTGTTCGGAGACCGAGGAAAATTTACCATTTCCTATCTAGATTTTTTCCACCACTAGATAATTTAATCAACTAAGTAGGAATTAATTTTAACAGTTTATCGGAAAGTAGTTGGGTAATTTTAGATTGCTATGACAAGCATGTAGGTATGAAAAAAATCTGAAAAATAATAATTACAAATGTGTTTTGGCGTCACGCAACAAGCATTCAAGTATTTCATTTTATAATATTATTTAGTACGACAGGTATTATTATAACGGAGAGTGCTCACAGTTTCCATTTGATGAACTCGGGGAGTCTGTCGATCTCAGCGCCGTACTGGCTTAGGGTGATGGATTTCATGTCCAGGTTGTCGAACAGTACGTCCGACTGATCGCTGCGAATCTTGTACCTCTTGTGCCAAGACACCGGATTTTCGAATCCGTCCACAAAGTCGACCTTTGCCGATACGGAGCAGCCTTTTTCGAAATCTTCGCAGACGGCGCCGACGACCGTGTTGTCCGCCATGTCCGCTCTCAAGTGGAACTTTTCTCCGACTACAATGCAATTTTTCACTCGCAAAAACGGAAAACGCCGACGGACGGCCGAATCGAAAAGTAATGTGCCGACTACAGTGGCTACCGGTCCGGTGGTTTTCAACGGCGGATTGTAAACGGGCGACTTTTCTGAGCCGGAATCATGGACGGGCAAAATCGAGTTCGGCCATTTGCGGCACCGAAAAAACGAGAATATTCTGAACTGTCCAAAACGAACTGGAACAAAATACGAAAACGAGGAACGCCCTGCGACGACGGCAGCCGACGGGAGAATATTATTCGTACAAATAATGACCTCACGACCAGTTAAGATAACGATTGGAAAAACCCAGCGCCACAGACGAGACGTATCTATTCTGAGACGCGAAATAAGACGAGGACGTTGCACCCGCATTGATTGTCCTCCGTCTTACAAGACAATATGTTATAATAAATAATAATTAATAATATGTTCAACATGACAAGAACAGTTTTGCCCGGGAAAGGACGGTCATGATATCAAAAGAAACGAAATGTTCACCACATAAAAAATGAAGAACTTATTTAGGCTGTGCAATATCGTTTTTTATTGATTGTACGTTATCGGAAAAGAGTTATTAGAGTTTGAAAAACGCAAATAGTTTATGGATTTTGAAACGATAAGAACATTTTTAGTTGTTGCTATGCCGTACGTGTGCGAGGCGGATACGACATAGCATGTGGGTGCGACGTCCTCTTAAGGGGTATGAATAGTATTGAAAAAATCTATAAAAATGTACTTTTGTATTTCCAATAATATGGTTTATTAAGTGGTTTGAGAGTAAAAACACCTATTATCAATATTGTAGAAGAGAAGTTAATCTGTGCCTGTATAGAAGTCAAATTTTAATATTTGTAATTACTAAACTCAATAATTCAAATTCAAAAAGTAAAATATCATAAGTTTTAGAGTTAAATATTGGACATTGAAAATAAAATATCGAAAATCGACTCCTATACAAGCCTAGATAAACTCCTTCTCTTCAATTTGTATAATAGGTGTTCATACTGTAATGTCACTCAGTAAGCTATATTATTGGAAATACGAAACTAAGTTTCAGTGTTTCACTAAAATTCACATTTGTAATTAGAGTGTAAAATGTTCCGCTAATGACATGTGCGTGCACGTGCGGGTGTGCTCCACTATTTATTTTATACACAGTCACCCACACTAATAATCACTTACTACGCGCACATTTACACGACCCGCATGCACACAATTAGAAAATTGCCTATACCGAACTCTTTAGAAACGGTCGGTATGCATACCCCTTAATAATATTATGTTTTATTTGTTATGTTCGTCGTTTATGTACCGAAGTTCTGTGAGCAATAGTATTTACGAATATTAATTATTGAGCCTTAGTTCTGGTTTTAAGCTTGTGCTGAATAGAGAGACTTCGTTATAAATCATATCCGAGTGATTTTTAAAAATCAAGGAAATCCAAACTGAATAAACTAGTGTAGGTATTAAAAAAAAACAAATATAAATAACCACCAAAAATATATTATGTAAAATGAGCGCCAAGTTCAATAATATAGTAATATATGCCTTGGTTGTTGACTTCAACGACAAAAGAAGTGAGTTCTAATTGGGTGCCAAGTTGGGATGCCAACTTAGGATAATATATTGAAGCCTAAGGTCTGACTTGGCTAGTTTTCATATACGAATTATTATTAAGTACCTACTAAAACAGTTATGGAAGAGTGAAGATGATTTTCGGAAGAATAAAATAACAACTCAAAGCTTTAGAACTTGCGAAGGCTATAATATAATTCGTAGCCAAGTCAGACCTTAGGCTTCAATTTCAATATATATTATCCTAACTTGGCACCCATTTAGATCTCACTTATTTTGTAGTTGAAGTCAACAACCAAGGCATATATTATTATAGTATTGAACTTGGCTCTCATTTTACATGTATTATGTTTTTGGTGGGATATCATTACTGTTTGTATGTAAATTATTATAACCTAACTGTCATAACCCAGCCATGATGTATTCTATACTCCGGCCCACGAGAGTCCATATGTCCAAACGCGTCCTGCGCATCTGCATGTTGCCGAATAGTGGGAATGACATCATGGTGGGAGAAAACAGACTTCGCGTATTACTATATCGATGCGTCGTTTACGTATGGACTCTCGTGGGCCGGAGTATATAAATAAAGTTTATTACTATATACTATAGTTCAGTTAATAACACTAATAATATTTATTATAAAATATTTTCTGTTGTACCTATACAGAGAATAAATTATAAAATTAATATAGAATTATTTTATCTATTATTGAGTATATTTTTAATTATCATAATTTTACTTACTATAATTTCTACTAGTGGGTGGGTAATTCATAATCGTAAGATAAATTATTTAGTTATTTTCATTGTAATTTTTTTTTAAATTAATATTAATTACATACATTGAAAAAAGGTGCTCTGCTGTACAGTAGGTTACAAGTGGCTCACTGTATAATGGATACTGGATAGTATTAAATTTGAATTCAATGATATAATAGCATTGTATAAGAAAAACGATTCTGAGCGGAGACGGTATGTCAGTCTAGGTATAAGACATATTATATTATACTTATCTATCGTATTAAAAAAAATGTAATAGTTCAGCATAGAGTACATTGACCGATTAAAGTCTACTAAGGGCCGTTCTTACAATGTCCGGTTAAAGTTAACCGACACGAATTCTACCAGTAATAAAAATATAAAATCTGTTATCAGTCGGTTAGCGTTAGCCGAAACTTTACAGGACATTGACTGAAACGGCAAGAACGGCCCTAAATCGAGTTTTATTTAAAATTATTTTTAACATATTAAGCAGGTTAATTAGTCTGTCTAATCACTCTAATCATGAATCATGATATTATAATTTATTGATCTGTTCCGTTGGGAAAGGTGTCAGGAGTGATATTAAAATCTATATGCACACATGTTATATTATAGGTAGGTACCTAGTAATGTTGTTAGTGCAATGTAAATAATTCTAATATTATTATGAAGATGTCACCACGCTGTATCTCATGAACCGTGCAAGCTAGACAGTTGAAATTTTCACAGATGATGCACTTCTGTTGCCGATATAACAACAAATACAGAATACTAAAAATCAGTCAGAATATGTAATATAATATTATAGATAATGCTACGGAACCCTTCGTGCTCGATTTTGACTTGTACGACTTGGCCTGTTTTTTATTGAATGTTCAAAATAAAAACTATAGTTTAATTTAAATAAAATAATAATAATAAAATAGCAGTCTTGTAAAGAATACTTTTATTTGTATTTTTCGGAATACGTACTCGAATATTCGAAAAAGTATTCGAATACTATAAGTATTTATTGTTTTACCCCGCTAATATTTATTTGTTTTGAAATGGTGGAAGACTAACATGGGTCAATCATATAATTTCATTCAAAGAGAATAACTATTGTTTGAAACTTATAATGTGCCCGATTTTTAAAAGAAAAATTTGTTTCGTCCCAAATATAAACAATAAACTATTATTCGAGTTCAAAAAAAGTATTTTTTAATGAATACAAAGTACAAAAAAAAATTATACAGAATTATTTGAATAGGTACATTTATTCGAATGTATTGCTAGACTGTAAAATAAGTTTCATTATCATAAATAACGTTTTGGCCATAATTTATATAATTATATTTTGTTGCCATGGATTTACTTACATTCGCGACTCCATGTTTATCTTATAAACATACCCTAACCTATATATATAACCTATAAAACCTAACCTAGTAGGTATACTATTGTGATAATTTATATAATTATATTTTGTTGCCATGGATTTACTTATATTCGCGACTCCATGTTTATCTTATAAACATACCCTAACCTATAATAACCTATAAAACCTAACCTAGTAGGTATACTATTGTAAGTTGACTCGCAGTCATTCGATTTTCCGATTTATTCGTGTATTATTTATACTAATTCCTATTGTGTTAACTGTTAAGTTTGACCGATTATTTCAACTGAAGAATGGATAGTCAACAAAACAACATTGCTGCGACTTTGGCACGATTATACGACAAGGCCGGCGACGGAGAGGAAAATTATATGAAATCGGATGTGCTCCCTCCGAATAACCCACCGGAAATTCGGAAAAACAGAGTTGACATCGAAGGTGATTTACAAGGTATCGTTCGACTAACTCTGCCTCAACTCAAATTCTTAGAAATGGTGGCCGATGCTATACGACCAGCGGCTATGCTCGGAAAACTGAAAACGGCTCCAACAAAAATTATGACAATGGAAGATAGTAAGACACATTTCCGGAAACTGAGAGGTGAAAACGTGCCGGGTCATCTACGACAGCCATCCGTGGCTATGCAGACTGAGATTTTTACGCCAAAAATGAAACCTGTCCTACAGCAGCTGGTAGTAAAACGTTGTGATAATCACGCGAAGTTTGCTAGACGTTATGTCTTCCCCGCAGACGTATTATTGGCCAAAGCCTTACGTCAGGCGGCCATACCAATGCTGGAAAATGCTGATGTGATCGAAGGACAGTCCATTGAAAATATCAAGGAGGATAGAGATTCTCGGAAAATGCAATTGAGCATTAAAAGCGTGACATCAGATTCACAACAGCCGTCCACCATTGAAGAAAATATTGAACGTGTCCGACGTAGGTCGATCGTGTCGGCTTTGGGGAGGCGACTCCTTAAAGTAGGTAGGTGGTTGACGGTTGTGCTGCTGGTGCGGCAATGATCATATATGGCTATATTGAGCTCGTCTGGCTCTGTGAGACGACGAGTATACTTAAGATTTAACTTAAAACTTGTGGTTATTTTTTGTTATTGATCAAGGTATAATTACCCAGCTGACGTTTTATGAATATGTTACCTATATTTTCTACTGTTTGAGTTCATAATGATTTTGTTTCATGTATATATTGTTGTATCAAAAATAAAAATACTTATTTTCAAATCACCTGCAGTCAATTCAATCGGCTGGTTAGGTACATAAAATAAAATTATTCAAACGTGATGAACGATGGTTCTATATAATAATGTGATATTGTGATTAACTATAAAAAACAGATCCGTAGTATTTTATTAAATTTTGAATAAGTTTATAATGAAAACAAGGTTTGTGCATTATAATATACCTATGTATATTGTCGTCATTTTTCACGAAAAAACCTTGGTTCTAAAATTTAAAATTATAACTACAAAATAATTGCCAAAGTTCGTTATTTTGATAGATAATGTCAACATTTAAATTTTAAACGAATATAAAAATATATCGTGTCTATTCGGTGTTTTAAATATTTTTTTATCATTGTATAGGTACGAAACACGATTCTGAGCGGAGACGGGATTTTGAGGAATTTTTTATTTTGTAATGCTTATGGCTTTTTGACCCAGCGTAATATATTTAATTGATAATCATAGGAAAACAATTTCAGATGGCTATAAATAGCTCAAAAAATGTTTAAAATGTTATCACGTATTGAAAATGTTAACATAAATATTTGTTGAAAATACCAAGTACCTATCTATAAGGATATTCGTTTTTGAATTACAACAAAATAATAAAAGTGCGTTCTATGAGAAATTATCGTGCTTTAAGGGTGAATATCGAATGTCAAATATATTTGAGCTTCAAATGATCATAAAAAATTAATTTGACTCCCCGGTACCCTTTTTTCTTTTGTTAAAGGTAGAAAAAAGTTTGTTTTACATTTTTGAATTTTAGATATAAAACGGAAATTTCTTATGCACCTATTTCCAACTACAAAATAATTACAAATTTTCACGATACAGTCAAATTGTGTCAAAATTCTAACGCCAGACGCTCATAAAAAATTATTATTGTGTACTAGCTGATCCCATGTAATTCGTTACCCGTTAAATGTACCAAATCTATATGACTCAAACTTTGTTCAATTCGTTATTTAATATTCAGTGTATGGTGTTCAACATTTATCGTAACTTTTCCGTTGCCCGGAATAATAATAATAATTCTGATTCGCAGCGGTATATTATCAGGTAGGCAATCTATCTGCGGTAGATCACGGACCTCTTGATGTTTGTACGTAAATGTATGATTTAACTCTAAAGTGTCAAAGTTATACCAAGTCTTATTGTATTCCACCTATGGTGGATTAATATAATCAGTTAATACAAAACCCTAACCTTACATATCAGATATTAGATATCTTATATCAGATGAATAAAAAAAAACCAAATTAAACCATTTTTAAATTAGCCTGTCTTCTTCCCAGAGGTCTAATCTACACACAAATATTAATTTAGATATATATATCTTGACAGAAAACAAAATACAAATCAACAAACATGCCCTATTAACAGTATTAACCAATAACAACCAATATAAATTATAATACACAGTAGTTGCGCCACTGTTGTATTTTTCTCATCCAGATTTCCTAATTTTCTGGTTGATTTTTCTGAAATTTTCTTTCGTATAAATCTTCTCCTAGCAATTACTAACATCTTAAAAAAAAATTTGAACCAAATCGGACCAGCCGTTCTCTAGTAAAAAATAAAAATAAAACAATAACAATAATACAAATCAACAAAAATGCCCGATTAAGCAATATACAATACACTATTATTGTTTTAATCTGAAACCAATTTTTGTATTATTTAATTAATTTTTTCTGGGCAGATAGCTTCACTATTGTATTTGTTGACATTCAAATGTTCTGCTTTTCCGGTGGATTTTCCTAAAATTTTCTTTCATTCCAATCTTCCCCAGGCAATTACGAACATCTTAAAAAATTTGAGCCAAATCGGTCCGGCCGTTCTCGAGTTTTAGGGAGATAAACGAACAGTAATTCATTTTTATATATTATATAGAAGATTTAAGTTCAATTTTGTTTCTAATTTACACTAATAACAATGAGCAACCTTGTATTGTATAAAAAATTAAAATTTGTTTAATAAAAATATAGTTAAAAATAAAATCGAAAATTTCTTATTTTTATTTTGGTTTTCCCGACGCTTTTGAAAATTAGTGGGACTTAGACCTCTCAAAAGTACTAACTAGATTCACTTTCCCCCCAAAAAAGTACTGAAGTTGTAAATCATATTTATATTACTTATCGTGTACAGTGTCGCAACTCTAAACTCTTGTGCAACTGTGCAAGGAATTATTTTGAGGTTATAATATGAATATAAGATGTAACCCTAAACCCACGATGTACGAGTACGATGATCTACATCGAGATGTAACCTAAAGTTGACACAAAATAAAAATAAAATATAAAAGCACAAATCGTTGTAAAATAAATTCATTAATGTGTGCCCGGGGGCCATCACCTCCGCTATTTCAGTTAACAGGTACTAATTGTTTCATCACTTGTAAAATAAAAATAGTAAATGTACTGTATTATCAGAGATTTTTGACTTTTTACACAATATTATTGACTATAAATACTAGAATTTATTTATTAAAGGTACCTAACACTATTAATTAAATTATTAATTAGTTATTGGCTACCTATTTCTAACGTTATCACACAGTACTACTGCACGCTAAGACACAAAACTATGAAGTCATCTTTCTTATACCTATTTGTGTATTTTTGTACAATATATTTTTATACTTAGGATTACGATTACACACCAATTTTGGGGGTACACCCACCCCTTAAAATAGGTGTGGTGGCGTTACAAGTCTACTTTACTAATGTAAAACTAAAATAACTGATAAAATAGGACATGCTTTTCTACCAAAATTCTTAGTTAGGTATACACTTATTGCTATTAAAGTAACTCATTTTAACATTACTATTACGAAAGGACGGTTTAATTTTTGCCGAAAACATTGAATTTGTTGTATTAATTAATATTTAATTGTAGAAGAGCTAGTGTGCATAGGTTCATGGTACAAATCTGTAATAGCTTAAAATTAAAAATTAATCTCAATATTTAAAAACAACATTGCATAATATTATACTAAATTTATAATTTCATAAGTCTCCGTGAATAATGTTTTTGAATTACAACGATATAACACCAACATCTTTATTGTTCGTTTAAATATCTAATTTCATCCAAATTTCAACTTAAAATGTCTATAATAAAAAACTGTGTTAATATATAGTTTCTATAGCTTTTGTTTACAATAATAATTATGAGAAACATTGTTTTAAATTTTCAATCTTAAGTTAAAAAAAGGTGGGTAAGTGGATGTCGCTCTGCTGTACAGTAGGTTACAAGTGGGTCACTGTATAATGGATGCTATTAAATTTGAATTCAATGATTCAATATCATTGTATAAGAAAAACGATTCTGAGCGAAGACGGTATATCAGTCTAGGTTTAAGACAAATTATATACATATCTATGGTATTAAAAAAAAAATTGACCTAAAATAAATTCCAAATTAATCATATCACAATATCCGTTAGGTACTTATAACACGTTATACACCAACAACAAACCCTGATACTATCATATATATATAATAGTACACTTTAGAAGTTTCAAGTAGGTACCCACGAATAATATTATATAATCACAACAAAATAACTAGGTTTTTTAATATGTAATTTCGTCCAAATTTGAACATAAAATGACTATAAAAATAAACTGTGATTGTATATTTTTTAGATTTTTCGGTAAGAGAATTAACTACTTACGTGGAATCTTGTTTTAAATTTTCAATCCTTAGCTATAAAAACTGAACATTTTATAATTTATTAATTACGATGATTAATAATTTTCGAGATTTTGAAAAATTCTATCAAAATTCGATGTTAAAATGCTTATAAAAAAAAATTGTGACTATGTATTTTTAATATTTTTCAACTGATATTGTAACAATATATCAGGAGCCTTGTATTAAATTTTTACACTTTTTGGCCCAACAGATAAAACTTAATTGATATTTATAGAAAAAAAAAACTAAAAAAATTGAAAACTGAAAATGTGCGTAAACGGCTCAAAAAGTGTCAAAATATTTTCAAAATTGTAGGGTGTATAGGAAATGCTAATATAAACATTCAGTGAAATTTTCATGTATCTACAGTTATTCGTTTTTTAATTACAACAAAAAAAGGAAATTGCCACATGAGAAATCGAGTGAATATCCAATGTTGTAAAAATTTGAATTTCAAACGCTCATAAAAATTTAATTTGACTTTCCGGTAGAAATTTTTTTATTGATAAAGGTAGACAATCTTATGAGTAATCTTGTATTAGATTTTCAAATCTTAGATTTAAAAAGAAAAATTTTTACGAATTCTTAACTCAAAATAATTTGCTAATTTTCGTGATTTTTCCATATTTTGTCAATTTTTGAACTTTAAATGCTTATAAAAAAAAATTGTGACTAAGGATTTTTAATATTTTTCATCTGCCTTTGAAACAACATATTAGGAGCCTTCTATTAAATTTTCAAGCTTTCGCAACCAACAAATAAAATTTTATTGAAATTTTTAGAAAAAAAACTAAAAAAAAATGGAAAATGAAAATGTCCCTAAACAGTTCAAAATAAATCAAAATATTTTGAAAATGTTATCGTGTATAGAAAATGCAAATATAAACAACCAGTGAAAATTTCATGTATATACGTTCATTTGTTTTAGACACGGTTATCTACACAGGTTGGCGCACGGCGTGTTATCGATGGTCGATGCGGCGAACGCAGTGAACTAAAGCGCTAGTAGTCACAAGGCCTAACTGGTTACCGGCTGGACGAGTTCACTCGTGATGAAATAATTCTAATCGTGATTATAAATTATAATTTTTTAATCACTATATTTGAAAGCTGAGTACTTAATTAGTATCTAATGTAATTTAATTACATAAAAAAATAATTCCCCCAACACTTGACTTATACTTCGAAAAACTCTCTAAATGGCTGACATCAGCAAATAATAATTAACGACTACAAGTCTTTCTTACCCAGTTATAATTTATTTTATTTATAAAATATCTGTAAAATAAAATATCAAATAAACATAATATGTTATTATTACTTTGTTCATTACTTATTCTTTATGTAATAAAACCTATTTAGTAGTTGGTTAATACTTAATAACTAATTTTACACCTAACTAATTTACAGTTTATAATAATTTTATTTTTGTTTTTTCATCCCAGTAAAGATTCTTGTAGCCTGAAAACCAAAAAAAAAAAAAATAATGAAAAAAAGGTAATATATTTGTTAATTCAGCTTTGGATGATGCATTATGATCACTGTCCAATGATTTACTGATATTCAACTCACCAACAGATGCTAAATACATAAATAAAGGAATACATATACTATAATATACCAACTTACATAATTTATATTTATTTCAACTTATGAACTAAATTTAAAGCTATATTAAAACATAACTTTACATTTTATCTTTAGATAATTTAATTTTACTTAATTTTAATATTTCTTAAATACTACTGAATATTGAATATAATAACTAACTAATTGTTATAAAATTAACTAATTTTTTTGTACCTTTTCTGTGTTGCTTTTGTAGCCTGAAGTACATCCAACTATACAACACTTAGCCACCATCGCAATAAAACTACCTACTACCAATTAAGTAATGACAAAAAGACATACAGTCATACAGATTACAGAACAATATTGTCGAAATTAGAAAATTATTTTGTTCGTCTTTTTCGTGCAGTTATCATGTTATCTCCAGGTTAGGTGTCGGTTGTGTTCTTATCACCTTTTCACGGTCTACAATAATTGTGTAATGTTTTTAATTCGTATTTTTAGTCGTTTGGACGATATTAACGATTTGAATAAAAAATCTTCGATTTCCCAGTACATACAAATGTAAACGTAGGCCCACTGACTACTAGCGCTAATAGTTCACTACGGTCACCGCATAGACCACACGTCTGCATTAGCATCATAGTGGCGTGCGCCAACCTGTGTAGATAACCGTGGTTTTAGAGTTACACCAATAACCAAAATCGATTTTTTGGAAAATCAATTTTGCGTAAAAATTCCCGTTTTTCCTTAATTTTTATGTTGTTTTTCCCGGCGCTTATGAAAACTACTGGGAAATTTAAATTTTGACCTCCCCAATGCACCAACGATATTCACTTTCCAATCGAACAAGATACTGAAGTCGAAAATCGAAGCATTATTTCGACTACTTATCGTGTACACAGATACAACAAAAATAAAACAATAAAAAAATAAAAAAACACACATCATTGTAAAATCAATACATTCATCGTTTCACTCAGAATCTAAAAATTGAGCACTTTATAAATTACTTACTACAAAATAATTTAAAAATATTTTTGTGATTTTGATGAATTTTCGTTAAAATTATACTTTAAACGCTAATACAAAATCATTCTTGCGTATAGGTAGGTATACAGGAATACTCAATACTTTTTTACTATTATTAAAATAATACATTATTACGAACCTTTTATTCAATTTTAAAGCTGTTTAACACTGTGAAACATGTTTTATTGTTATTCATAGAAAAAACTTAACAATTTCAAAATTTCAATATAATACTATTAATAATTGCTCAATAAGAGTAAAAAAAAATTTTAATACTTACCATGTATAATGGCGTGTATATGAAGAACTAATATAAATATTTGGTGAAAATTTTAAGTATCTACGGTTGTTATTTGTTTTGGAATATCGAAAAAACCATACAATTTTGACTCTTTTTGAGCTGTTTACGGACATTTACAGTTTTCAATTTTAGATTCTGAGTGAAACGATGAATGTATTGATTTTACAATGATGTGTGTTTTTTTTGTGTCTGTCATCACGTTTTAGGACAGAAAAAGTGCTTGGATTTTCTTCAACAGTAGCTTTTCTGATAGGAAAGTGAATCTAGTTGGTACTTTGGGGAGTCAAAAGTAAAAATTTCCCAGTAGTTTTCAAAACCGAAGTGAAAAACAAAAGAAAAATTAAGGAAAAACGTGAATTTTTACACTAAAATCTGTTTTCGAAAAAATCGATTTTGGTTTTTGGTGCAACTCTTAAAAAAATCACCGTAGGTATACATGAAATTTTGACTGAATGTCTGTATTAGTATTTTTCTATACACGATAACATTTTCAAAATGTTTTGATTTATTTTTAACTGTTTAGGCACATTTTTTTTTAGTTTTTTTTCTAAAAATATCAATACAATTTTATTTGTTGGTTAAAACAGCTTGAAAATTTAATACAAGGCTCCTACTATATTGTTACAATGGCATTTGAAAAATATTAAAAATCCCTAGTCACAGTTTTTTTTTTAAGCATTTAAAATTAAAAAATTGACAAAATATGGAAAAATCACGAAAATTAGCAAATTATTTTGAAATAAGAATTCGTAAAAAATTTTCTTTTTAAATCTAAGGTTTTAAAATGTAATACAAGATTCCTTATAAGATTATCTACCTTTATCAAAAAAAAAATGTCTATAAGAAAGTCAAATTAAATTTTTATGAGCGTTTGAAATTCAAATGTTTACTACATTGGATATTTACTCGATTTCTCTTTTAGCGATTTCCTTATTTTGCTGTAATTCAAAAACGAATAACTGTAGATACATGAAAATTTCACTGAATATTTATATTAGCATTTCCTATACACCATATAATTTTGAAAATATTTTGACTCTTGTTGGGCCAAAAAGTGTATAAAATTAATACAAGGCTCCTGATATATTGTTACAATATCAGTTGAAAAATATTTAAAATGCATAATCACAATTTTTTTATATAAGCATTTAAAGATCGAATTTTGAAAAAATTTATCAAATTTAAAATTCAATAATTATTTTGTACTTAAAAATGTATAAAATGTTCAACTTTTATATCCAATGATTGAAAATTTAAAAAAAGATTCCAAGTAAGTAGTTAATTCTGTTACCAAAAAATCAAAAAATACAGAAGCCATAGTTTATTTTTATAGTCATTTTAAGTTCAAATTTGGACGAAATTACATAATAAAAAACCTAGAATTTTAGTTATTTTGTTGTGATTGTATAATATTATTCGTGGGTACTTGAAACTTAAGTAACCTAACCTAACTTTAAGTTCACTATTATACATCTATGATAGTATCAGTGTTTGTTGTTGATGTATAACGCGTTAAAGTACCTATTGGATATTGTGATATGATTAATTTGGAATTTATTATATGTACCTATTGGCTATTATATGTCATTTTTTTTTAATACCATAGATAAGTATATAATATGTCTTATACAATGATATTATATCATCGAATTCAAATTTAATACCATCCATTATACAGTGACCCACTTGTAACCTACTGTTCAGCAGAGCACCTTTTTAATTTTAGCTTTTGTTTTTTGGAGGTCCCCTAGAGCTCGAGATCCGTGTGCATTGCACCCCCAATTTTTGTGACACTGATCTTGTGCACACATAAAAAAAAACACAAATCATTATCTTATCAATACATTCATCGCAACTCTAATTCTAAGATTGTATATAATGAATAATTTACATTCTTTTTTTAATTTTACGGACAAAACATACGAACCCTTTTTATAAAAGGTAGATATAATTACAGTTATAAATTGAATAAAATATATATGGTTCACAACAGTGTTAACATAGAATTGATTAAACTACAGAAGAGGGGTCCAAATTGTCTGCACTCATTATCGATGATTTTAATAATCTAGTAAATGACGATACATGTTTTTGAATAAATTCTAATAGAGTAATGCATGGTTTTAGATGGATTAAACATTTATTTTTTAAAGTTACCCTTTAGTCTTACGTTCTATAAAATATATAAATGCTATATTTTATATAATTTCATATACATATAATCGGTAGTTATTTGAATTTTGATAATTTGTCGGTTCTAAACTGTTTCAAAGGTTAAAGTTAAAACACAATTAAGAATCTTTTAATCTTCTTATTTTTACTCAGTCTTATAGCTTTTCATCAATCATTGTTGCGTGTAGGTAAACTATAATAATAAATGCAATTTAAAAACAATTGAAAAATGAATTGAATTTTATTTTTACGATCAACCTACCGCTTTAAGTACTAATTCACATAGATAGAAACAATATAGTTACAATACCTAAATTAAGGATACTTTACATAAATAGGTGAACATCTATAAACACTATTTAATATCAATGATATAAAAATTAAATACAACACTTACAATTTACATAAATAAAAATAATAATATATTGAACAATGTTCTATAAATCTAAATAGCAAACGCACCTACCACTTAGGTTTAATATAAATATACCGGTACTCCTAAATCTTAAATAAAAAGTATATTTACACTAAATTATTAAGACGGTATCAATTAAATTACAGTATATTGGGTAAATCTTTTACCAAGTTAGAGTAACAAGTTCAACATACATTTGAAAGATTATAATCACAGATTGACAGGCTTAACGACATTTCAAACTCTTTCGTAAAGTCAAAAAACTAATTATCACAATGACAAACAAAAATCCAACCATCACTGATATGTCCGTCCAATATTTTCCATCGGTCATACCGATCTCTTTGAATGTCGTTTCCGGGAAGCGGTAATGACAGTAACCTTCTTCGTTTAAACATATCAGAGGTTCACGACCATAACCGTAAATGGAGACGACCAGCCCTTCTAGTGCATACCTCATATAACTGATGTAGGACACATAGTACAGGACGACGGGCATGTGGTTGAAAAGTACTAAGAAACCGGCGAAGAGAATACATAGACAAGTGATGATCGAACCAATGAAGACTCCGTTCTAAAATAGTATACAATATTAGTCTGAGTAAATATGGACACGATTTGTATACAGAGTTTACAGCATCGACTTACAACTGGGTTCATGGCTGTGCCGAGAATAAGGCCAATGCCTTCGGATATTAGGGTCATTAACTGACAAACAAATAAGAACATCAAGAATCTGGTCCACGTCATCAGCTGTGCTGACAAGTAGTAAGAAATCGATGTGTAAATAAAACAAAACATCATCTGTGGAAAACACAAATAGTTAAGGTGTTAATGAAGTAAAAAAAATGTTCGTACGAACGTTTTCAGTGATTTCTGGTTGACTTACCTGCAAAGGCATATTCGTGACGAGAAACGCCACGAAATATGTGGATAGCTTATACCAGTTGTTAAACAACTCTTTTCTCAGAATGTGAAGTTCGGACGGGACTGAAAAATAAAAATACAATTTAATTGACATTATATAAACGCGTAGTAGGTACGCAATGCTAGTGGATATTATGGCGTGTATTATTAATTTATACTCACATTTTAAAATAGCTGGCATAATGGACGTGTAGCTTAAGTATACAAGCGTTACAATACAGAATCCGATATTGTTGATGGTCTTGCCACCGTCGATGCCGGCGTTTTCAAACAAGAGCCCCAGTAAAATCCCGACGAGGAAGTGCATACATATTTTTACATGAGTAACCGTCTACAAGAAAAATATAATTAAATCGTGAAGCTATTATAATTAATAATAATCAGGGCTCGGAAGTTCTAGCAAATGCATATTTTTCTTGGTTCGTCCTAGAACATCCAAAGTAAGAGACACATATGTATCACACTTCTCTGATGTCATACGAGAAATTTTATTTTTCTATTTTTTTTTTGCATATTTATTGTTTTGCTAATTTAGGGTTTTAAGCGCTATTTTTGGGTATATTTTCATAATATTCATAATATATACCTACATATTATACAAAATATAGGAAATTATCACATTATGTTGAAAATAATGATCAACTTGGTTGGGAAATAAACAGACCTTATAAGTACACTTTTACAAACATATTTAAGTAATTTAATATATTTGTTAACAGTTTATAATTCATCTAGCCCAGGCAGTCAATGACGTCTATTATGAGCCCAATAGTTTTATAAAATCGTAAAATGACATTTAATTTTTTTCTAATAAATTTTGATATTTTCAAGTTAAATGCACATTTTTTGATTTTTTGTGCTATTTATTAGAGAATTTTTTGAGTTTTTAAGTGCATATTTAAGAGCTGAAAAGTAACATTTTTAGTGCTACAAATTCCGAGAGCCCTGATAATAATAATATATATTAAATAATAATATAAACATAATATTTTGTATGATTGCTTTTATTTTATTTCATTTCAGTACAAACGACATAATTTGGTTTATTTAATACCTAATTGATATAAAGAAAGGAAGACATTGATTCCAGTTGTTTCGCTTGATTGCCTTGAACAAGAGGAAGTCTCATGGGAACTATGTTTCGGGTAGGTTATTTTGATATATTTTCAAGAGCTTAACAGCAAAACCATTTATCAAAAAAATAAAAATAAAAATAAAAATAACACCTACGATTTAATATGTTTAATTTGCATTTCAGTATAATATTCAAATATATTGTATAAAATAATAATTGCTGACTTTAATAATATTATAACTATACGTACACTATGGTACATACATTTAATTAATTTCCAAGAACATTAGAATATTTGAACTTTGAATTCTAGCGTGACCTGATTTTGTAGAACATGAGAATTTATTTTGTTTTATTACTATTACCTATGTGATATAATAACGTGCAACTTTAATGACCTAGTATTTATTTATTATATAATATTTCCCTACATAATAATTACTTTCTTGACAGATTTAAAAACTAACAGTGTATTTTACACTAAAAATTAAATTGTTTCTTTTCAAGAAGTTTATTGATACCTGTGAAATGTACAGAATCTAATTAAATTTAAATTCAGGTTAATTAAGCATCCTGAATACATTTTATTTGAAAAATAAAGAGTTATGTAATTTAAGTATATATTATTATAACTACTTAAAAATTATTTATAGGTAAGTCTTGTTGGTCCTTTGCAAAATATTTGAAAACTTAAATTTAAATACAAAAACAAAAAAATAAATAAACAGTGGTTTAGTTTGTTTATATGTAAACCAATATTTAAAACAGCTTTTTGGACAATTTGGACAGAATCACTGTTTCAGCGTGTATAGGTATAGGATAAGATTCTAATTTTGATAATTAGGTAGTAATAAATTAAAAAATCTTCTTAAAATTTAATGTGACCTTCTTTTATATACTACAATCTGCCTTTCCATTGTTTGTCATATCAATACATTACATAATACAAACATTTAAAATTATGCTAAGAAAATATAATTGGCTTTAATCAAGAACCAACATTAATAAAGCACAGTTGGGTCACCAGGATATTTTTGGGGATCGTTTTCGCAAATTTCGAAAGGTATTTCCTTTATTATTAAAATAATATCAAAAATATTAAATTATAATAATATGATAATAGGAACATATTTATTACCTCTGTTGGTAAATTCTTTATCAACAAAGTACTACACTGAAAAGGGCAGGGGGTCATACCTGGACATTACCCGGAGTACACCTTTTCGGAGATTTAGTGCGTAACTATATAGCATAGAACATATCTGCACATAGCTGGTAATAGGTAAAACTAAAAACATAAATAAAAATTAATTTAACTTACCCAATCTCTGTAGACCTGCATTAAACTTCTGTGTATCAGTACTAATAATTTATTGAATTCGGAGGGCTGGTTGACCAAGACCAATGAAGTAGGACCAGCGTTCTTAGATTTTCTTTTTAATAACGTACCTGAAAATTTTAAAAGCAATTTAATTACCATTAAAGATAATATGTTTAAAAATATGAATTACTTAAGTAATTTTATCTTACAGAAATCGGTACACTATACACACATAATATACGAATAATGTACTGTAGGTATATTATGTAAAAACGAAAGACATAAGGCATTACAAAAAAATAGGACTATTACGTGAATCGGCGATTTGAGGTGGTGTCCGCCATGATTTATCAATAGCTGCAGTTTTGAGTTGAGAGGTAAAATTTCCATATTCACCCGTCACTACTTCCAAAACTATAACAACATTTTTTTTAAAAATATGTCAGTAGATATTCGACAGTAAGTAGAACATTTATAATAAGAAAGAAGAGAAAACATTGCGTTTTAGTAAATATAGGGTTGATAATTTTTGATTAGTTCAAAAAATATAGACGGTTAATCACCCAAAGTCCATTTCTATAATAGTGTAAGTATAGTGTTTAATACTATTTATTATAATATTATTGTATTTCTATACTAAGTGAATATGTTATGTTACATATGACAAGATAGGCATGCAGCCATGCAGGTGAAATAAATCAAGGTGGTAGGATCACATAAAGTTAAATTATTGTCAAGTTATTGAATATCGGCGATCGAAAGTGATAAGCTGTAACGGGGACGCTGTGTATCATTTATCCAGTTCTCCGTTACAGAACCACCCCCGATGGCCTGAAAATTGATAAGCTTCCAATCGCCAATAGGTAGTTACATTGAAGGTTAAAAATGGGCGATACAAATTGAAATTATTATTTTATGGCATATTTGTATCTCATTATAATATTAGTTATTACTTAAAAAATATTTTAAAAACAAAACAAATCATTAAATACCAGTTTTGATTTTTGATTTCAAATTCAAATTTCAGTAATAATTTACAGTTTTGCAAAATTAAGAGGACATTTTCGGTTACTCGTCATAAATTACTGTTTGTAATGTTGATAAAATAAATATATTAGGTATATACTACCTACCTACCTACTACTCGTCGACCGTCGTATACGAGTATTATACGACTATTAGTTTGTAGGGACAAACAAGATTTTATAATTAAGAGCTGTAATGTAATATACAATTGTAAGGTCATCAGGAAACTCGGGTGTATGCCCACTCTTCTTCTAACAAAAATATATATTAATAATAAACAAATAATATACACATGTTATACGTACCTCAATGTTTTAAAATATCAATACCATACAGTATACATGTATTCAACATACATTTTGATAAAGCAAATGTTAAAAGCGATATTATGTAAATTTTTCACTATCGAGTGATTATTATATTATACTATTATAAAGCCCGGAGACCACTCAAACTGTCCGACACGATAAGTAGCTTCAGTAATAATATAATATCGTCTTTATGATCGGTTATGTTGTATTAATATATCATTATTTCTAAGTCAGGTGCCCATCAGGGTCAGATCTAGTGAGGATGGTTCATACCAGCGCTGCACAAACACACTTTTCCATTTTTCGCATATTTTTTTTCTATTTAAATAGTTTATAAATACATTTTTTAAAAATAAAAAAGTTGTATAATATGCAATAATTTTATGATAAAAAAATTTACTATGAAAATGTATGTGCAGCCAACCGGAGATCGGACGGACCCCGGTTAGAAGAAGAGTTCGCAGTTCGCTGGAGTGACCCCGACGACACGTGGACGATGGTGATTACTGATTACAATAATATACGCGCAGTGGAAAACAGACGATGAAAATGGTAGCGTGATGGTAAACATATTATTATAAAATATGAATTATATAACATCGTCGCGGTACTCACTGAAATCGGCCGGATTGTGGTATTGCGGACAGTTAAGTCCGATTGTTTGCAAATAAGGTATGGTGTTCTGACTAGAGCCCTGGTATACGCAGTGCCCCTCGGCCATAATGTAGACGTGATCGAACATTTCGTACGTGCTGGCACTGGGTTGATGTATTGTGCAAACTACTGTCCGACCGCCTTTGGCCAGACCTTTCAAGATCGACACGCACTGATGTGAGCTCGTACTATCCAAACCACTGGAAATATAATTATACGTTTATATCATTGTACGTCGTTATTATAGGTAATATGAGCAGAGAATAAAGATAAAATAGTATTATAGCTTGAATGTTAAGGGTGTCGCCGTGTCGGTGCTGGATTTTCCAATTTTCCGGTATTTGATAAAATTTGAATATTATATTCTATAATATTTTAGTTGCTACCTTAATTATAATACTAATCTACTGTTGACACACGGTGTACTATATAAATAAAAATGACTTCACGGGAAAAACTCTCACGTCTTATTGATATCATATGTCGAACGTTGGTAATTTTTTCTTTATCTGAAAGATGAGGACTTATTTCAGGTCAGGTCAAAGCCCGAATTTAATTTTACTTTAAATAGTGCTAGAAAAATCCGATTGAAAAATAACAAATATTGTGAATTATTCAAACTAATATTTTAGCATCTGTAATTATGATTTTAAAAATCAGGCTTTGATCTTGCAAGATGTTTTGTTCTTAAAAGTTAACAGAATCTGACTATTCTGAGATTTTTTCCTGTAAGACATGTTTTTGTACTAAAAATGCAAAGGCTCCGACGCCCTTAAACAAGATATTTTTATGTTATTTAAAATATTTTATTTGAGGTATGTACCCATACAATGTTTTTTGTAAAATAAAAAGCGATAATAAATCAATAAATATGGGAGTTAATTTAATCTTACAAGTGAATATTATAGTTGTATTTATCTATAAGGGCATATATTTTATATTAGACGACAGTTGATACCTACTGCAGGCCATTTATTTATTTATCTATAATAGGTAGGTGAGAAATAGATGAAACAGTTTTTAAAAAATCTTAAATATTTTTAATCTTTTTATACTTGGGCACATTTTGATAACCATCATTAATATAACTTTGGTATCTTGGTGACTGTAAAAAAAAAATGAGTGAAAAGTGGGTGCTTAAAGCTTAAAATAAGCCCAATATCATTTACCCCGAATTACCCGCTATGGCTTGCCACTGCGAGGAAAAGTATTTCTTTAGTAGGTAGGTTTTTTTTAATTGATTGTGTCTTCTAATAATATGCAAAGAGTTGCCACGTCAATAATTCTATGAGCCACATAAGTATACAATTCAGTAAAAAATTAAAAGTTGAAAAAGAAAAAGATAAAGAAAACCAATGTTAAGACAAAAACAAAAAAGCGTCGTTATTGACCCAATAAATAAATTTGTTTACTACTTTACTGTTATATAATATTATTTAGGTATGGGTATATAGGTGTTTTTAATCACGGTCCGTGCCATAATAATAATTATTAAATATATTGTATAACCACTAAAACCCGTCCAGTTCATCTTGTCACTCGGCAATCGTTTAATGTTTATGACGATTTAAAAAAAAAACTGGTCCGAAACTATATTTTTTCCAATATAATAGTTTTCGGACCACTGAGTTTTCAAAAATCTTAACGTTTACCGATTACCAAGATGAACTTGAGTCTGGACCGGTTTATGATTATACAATGTAATAATCACATGATTTGTACGGAATATAGGTATGTATATTGTATACTATATATAAGCAATCTTAGTATGATAATATCCCGTAAAACATTAAATTTGAAGAAGAGCTTACGTGGTGGGTTCATCGAGAAACATAATAGGTGGATTGTCAATAAGTTCAAGAGCTATGGACAAGCGTTTCTTCTGTCCACCGGATAATGTACCGCACCTGGTGTGAAGGCTGCCGGAGAGTCCGATGCTGTCTAGAATGTCCTCGATCTAATCAAAAAACAAGGAGAACAATGTCAGTTTAAATACGTGATTACAATATTACTGATGTACACGTCACACACACGAGTGTGTATTAATTAGGTATGTACCTACATGCGTGCGCATGCAGGGAAAATTAAATAATAATACAATAGGCACGATGGGTAAGGGTCATAGGCGCATTGGTTTTTCGTAACTTAAACATATTTGGTGACTGACGTGAAAAAGGAAAACTCATGGTTCTAAATTGAGAACCAAAATCGTATGGCTGAAAATCATTTAAATAATAATACCAATAGTTTGAGTTCTTCTCTTGTAATTATTCGAAGGATGACATGTCATAAATAATTGTATGATAAATTAAACATACATGGCCTTGGAGACGATTGAATTACGCTGAGGTTCGAAGAGGCCATCACAAAGACTATACTTTTATGCGAATTACTTGTACAAATGTTGTGCGGAGAAACAAATAAAGGAAGTTTGTTCAACGGAACAATGACCTAAACAATAGTATTTTTAAATGTATTTAGGTAGTAGGTACTAAGATGCAATATATATTTATATAGATACCAATTATCATTATTTATTAATATTTGAATAATTATGCAGTAGGTAGCAGAAATTTAAGCGTATCGTTGAATGCATGAGTTAACAATACCTACTTAATAGTATAATTTGTTTCAAAAACGACTGAATATAATTACGTTATTAAAATATTTCTTTTAACTTCGTCTCCGTAATTGCTTTTTGAAATTGTAAGATACGCGTAGGTATACAAGCATCACGCTATTACTTGCACTATAATACAATTTTCCATTTATAATAATTATCAAAAAGTAAATAATCCCGGTTTCCTTTCGAATTAAAAAACTTATAAATTGTCTATGTCCTAACATCACATTTTAAAGCTTAGTATAGTTATATGGGCAAAATACGTTTCTAACAACCATAACTTTCAATCGTTAGTCATTAGTAATCACTCTATACTATTTTAAATAAGAGGATGCTACTCGTACATTTGTTGTCTCCGACTTATACACGTACGACATAACAAATTTTCGTTCAATAGTTTTAATAGTGTTCTGTTAGTTTTAATATTAGAGTGAATTGATCTATTATCAAACTTTTAAGTAAGAACATTATCTGTGCGTAAGCGTTGGCAATTTTTTGATTTTTTAATTTTCAATCAAGATGAATCAAAAATTAAAAATGCCCATATTTAGCTTGAAAATTAAAATATTGGAAAAACGCCGACGCTTAAGCATCAGATTTGTGCACAGATAATGTTCTTATCTAAAACTTTGATGATATGTCAATTCACTCTAATATTATATAAACCGTATACTATTGAAACTAGTGTTATGTAGTACGTGTGTAAGAAGGAAACAACAAATGCATATGGGTAGCTAGGTAGCTAAATGTTTCACTAGTAAAATAAAATATTAAATTATTTTATAACAGTAAACAACAATAGTATTATGTGAATTATTTATCAAATTATTAGATTCACCTATTTCTTTTTTACAATTATTTTTATTTGAACTTTACTTTTAAATGGTTATCTATAATTAAAAAATAAGATAAGTAAATAATATCACAATGTTCAGATTATTGATCTACTAATATTCTGCATTACTGTTTTGAATAAAAAAAAATGTGATTGAATACCAATTAACAAACTAAATAGGTATTACTTAAAGTATAGTACATATAGGTAAAATTACCATATAGGTAAAATTACGAAAATACGAAAAAAAAAATTAAACTGGTAGGTATTAGATACTATTTATTATAAAAGAATGATGCACATATACAACTCAAATATTTTGTGACCGTTCGTACCTAGGCTACTTATCTATTTATATTTTGTTATTACAGTTATAATGTCTTTCTTATAATATATTACTTTAATATTTATCTGATTCATATATTATGTCATGTTATGTAATGTTCGTATTCTTGTTATACTCTTTTTTGCAAAAGCCGATTGACGTTAATATTTAAATATATTTAAATATAATAAATAAATAAATAAAGATCAAAATATCCAAAATGAAATTAATAATTAAATAATTATTCTAAAATACTAGATCACCTAATGTTAACAGTGTTATTCATCCTTTATCCTCTAATTGCAGTTATAGGGCCTAAATGATAACATAAGATAAAATACGTAAATATGGGTTATATCACTTATATACTTATATATCTCTATGATAAAATAATAATATGAAGACATGTTACAATCACGTACCTACTTTAATATCCAATAAAATATACAATTATTATGGTATAATATATCATAATGAGACGTAAACCCATTCAGCTCCCATTTTACAAAAGGGTCAATTCCCAAACGGCTCTAGTTTTAAAACACAAATTCCTTCCCACGCTTCATATAGACTAAGGACCGACTTACAAGAAGTGTGGTTAAAATGTATTGGTGTTTTTTTAAATTGTATATAAATTATAAAAATTATATATTTGATATTATAAAATGTGTTAAGTAGGGTTTTTTTAAATGCTAGAGTTAAAAATAGAAAAATAACTTGTATACCTATATAAATATTAAATGTATTAATCATACATTTGGTAGATTTGGGTGAAACCTTTTTCGACCGCGGGAGCTATTTGGGAATAAGCAAACAAATTATGGATTGGAGCCGTTTGGGATGCACCGGATTAAGCGTTTGTGTAGTTATTTATTAATGTACGAAATTGTGAAATCATTATTGAATTCAGAAAAACATTTAAAAAAAATACTATTTCATTGAATATGAATTTCAAATTTACCATAAATAAATACATTACATTTTATAATAAAATCTTAAATTACAACCAATTTTTAAAGAAAGTAACAAAATATTAGAAAAAAAGCTACCTACTTACTACATATTCAATATAAAAGAGAATTTTCATCAAACTATCAGTGAAATAAACGAAAATAAATAAGTATTAAGATTATGTATAAAACTAGGTCAAATAAACATTTTTATGCTTTTTCTTCATTTTTTATCAAGGTAGTTCTAACCCGTTGCATCTGACCTTGTCGATAACAAAGAAATATAGATATAATAATTAATATTTAATATATTAGTAATATTAATAATTAGTTAATACTAATATAGTTAAGCTGTAAGCATATATAAAAATTAAATACAATATGAATAAGTAATCATTTTCATGTTAAATTTGTATCGATTTATAATTAACTACCAAAGTTAAACTTCTGACATTACGAAATTTTCTATTGGTTGTTGTTAACCCCATGATTTTGAATGAATGCGTTTTGTCTATGTTGTGCGTGAGCCAGGGAGAAAAAACTTACAGTGCGCTAACTACCTCTTAAAAATAATTTAAACCATAAAATATGTTTTTTAAATAATTAAATTATTTTACAGTTTATAATGCAAAATATTGAGTAGGTGCCTACCTGTATTTTAAATTCATATTACATTTTTTATGCTTAATATAATGACATAATGTACCTACCTACGCCTTTAAACAATTGTTACAATTTAAAAATAAAAATTTAAATCATGGCATTGAAACAGATTTAAAACCAGTTAACAGCGAAAAAAACGTTAACTATAAAAATAGGAAACTGTTTTTATAATTAAAATTTAAAATTAAAATTGGAAAAAAACAAAACCATTTTTCTGGATTTTCATATAGGAACCTTGTTTTAATTTGTATAATATCTAATATGATATTCGTAAATGAAAAAATTAAGTGTGATGTACTATTCTTCATGAACTAATAAACTATTTTACATGTGTGTTCATAAAAAAAAAAAATAAACTAATTTTTTCTGACTTTGAGTTGCGTTATGGGAGAAATATAATTTAAAGTATTAACTGCTATGAAAGTATAAAATAAATTTTAATTGGTACCTATTGGTATCTTATACCGACTTTTTTAAACAAAAAAACGTGTGCACGTTGAAACAAAGTAATCTAGCATTAAACAATACTATTCAATTTTTAAATTTTTAAATCAAAGGGTTATCGAACAGCATTAATTGTTGTTTATGCTGACTTTTAATTTTTTTCTAACTATGCAACATTAAAACGTTTCTGAGGGATATGTATAAGAAACAATTTGTAATGTTATATTTGCCACTATGTCTAAAAATATAGTTATAGGGTGTAAATGCTTATATTTTGTTATGAAAGTTTATTTATTGTATCATAGTTAATGTACTATATATATATATAAAAATAAAAAATTGTATGAGGTAGTCTCATTGTTAGAAAACGACTGATCACTTACTACAAGAAGTTTAGATTTGTAGGAGAGTGTGTATCCGAGTTTCAGGTCAGCTGCCATCATCATGATTTCTAATACAGTGAAAAGTGGGCACAGTTGGTCGTCTTGCATTATGTAACAGGATTCTTTTTGGCATATGGTACGACCCCCGTTACTCTTTTTTCTCAAATCATTATTTAATAGCAAGTCATCGTCATCAACGCGGTTTGTCAGGACTTCACCATTCATTCCTTTGCGTCTGTAACACGTAAAACGAAATTTAAAATTTATAACTAACGATTGTTTATGTCTTAACAACTATACCTATAACATATTGATTATAGTCTATGATAACAAGTTCAATTGATATGTTTGAACAAATGTTAAACTAGTATTTATAAACCCTAGTAGTATTTAGATAAATATGTTTTTTTATTAATTTCGTTTCAAAATATAATACATGCTTTCAACTCTAAAATTATATTTATTTTTATCAATATATTATAGTTGAAGCTTAATATTTAAAAATTAATACCTACCCAATTATAAAAGTGTCTTATACAATTATAATAATTTTAGAATATAATAACTCGTGTCCTTATAATAATATAATATTATTATTAGATATAACTAAAAATACTATCCTTTTTTTCATATTATTAAAATAATAGGTAGGTACTATTTACAATTTATACAAGACACAAGTGAATACTGCAATTATAGTAATTATTATGATTTCTTATTATACCTCAAAACATTTATTGTTTTACTCCTTATAATAAGAATTTTAACGACATTTTTAAAATCCGTTTTTATGTCTTGCGGCAAGTCAAGTTGACTTCCTATACAACATTCATTGTCAACTTATTCAATGTGAACAAGACCACCCTGAAAAATACATTCAATGTCCAAATAAAACGTACTTGATATTGAATTTTGAAATGTATATTTTGATTTTTAAATGTGGGTCACCCTGTTGGAACGTTTTTGCTGGAAGGTCATATGTTCGAAACATATTGTGAGCGAGGATTATAACTATTATTATTGCCTTTAAATGTTTTTATAACGATATAACTATACATAATTTAACAAATAAAAAATAAACTGAAATGCACAACATAAATTATGGTCAACCATTAATAAAACAAAACGAATATTTATTTTGTATTATTTATGGCTTTCGTGATTTTACAAGATGTCGTTTGGTTACTAAATTTAATAAAATCGTTATTGTGACGATAGGACTAGGTATATACATATAAATCTGTAATACTAAAACTGAAACAAATATTATCTCAAGTACAGATGAATATAAAAATAGTTTTAATACATGTGTAATCTTTATTACCTGTACCAGTTTAAATATGTGGTATATTATACAGGTTTGATTACAATTAAAATATAAAATTCCAGGCATTGATAAAATCCCGAAAAACTCTGAGCAATTAAAATAGTAGCCGATTTATTGCAGAAAATAATTTTAAATATTTTAATTATTATATATATATATAAACATATTCATGAGTGATAAAATGTATTTTTGTTTCTAAAATTATATGCACATTGACCGCCGGGGTCATTAGAGTCAACAAATAAGTGCTAATTTTTATATATTAACCATGATTAATGTTAAATGTGTTTAAGGCTGTTATCTTTTTAAATTTATGTACAAACATATATTTTTATGAATGATAATAATTAATAACAAATAATATTATTATGTTGAAATTGTTTTTTTTCCGTGAACACCTTATGGTTAAGGAGTCAAGGTAATACGAATCAAGAATGTGATGACAATCGATAAAAAATCATATATTAGTATTTAGTAGGTATCTATTCTTATTAGTATTTTGAATCTTTGATTGATTGTTTATATTATTATTTATTATTAGTAAGGACTTAAACAAAGAGTTATAAAGTGCAGGTATACCGTATACTCATTACAATAATATTTAATAGTGCTATACATACACTATTAAAACATTTAAAACCTGTAAGTTCAATGATAACTATACATAGGTAATACTTATATAAAATTGAGCTTGATTTAAAAACGTTAGCTTAAAACTCAAAAATAATTTAACTTGCACTGCTCTTTATATAATTTATAAAAAAAACCCAACTAAAATAAACAATATTGTATAAATATAATATATCATAATATTTGTATCATTTTAATAAATTTAATATTTATATTTAATATTTTTACATTGATCGGGTTTTGATTATTCTGGGCGAAGTCTGGTAATACTGCTACCTAGTATACATTATAATATTTAGCCTAAATATACGAACATATTTACAGCAGTGTGTTTCGAATCCTCTAAACACTGTGTTGTATTTTTAACCTTAAATATTAAAATTATAGTCTGAGCCAGTCCAGGCAAACATTTTCAAATACCATTATTTTTTTGCAACACAAATGGGTATATAATTTATCAAAATAATTGTTATTTTGACAAATAATAATTGAATAGATAATTTAGTTAAAGTTAATACGTATATTTTCAATAGTATTATACTATTATATGGGTTTATTGCCTGTTCGGCGCCATTCCCAATGGCACCACACCGCATCTTGAACAAAATTTCGGTGTTCAAGGCATGCTTAAATATTGCCTATAGCTACTTTTCAGAAGCGTGTTTATAAATTATATTAATAGCCATTAATTTATGCATACAAAATATATCTAATAATAGATGTCAAATAATTTTATTTGAATATCATTATGGAATTACAAAACATGGTTCTATATGAACATTTATTAATTATTATTATGTCCTTCCAATACGTCATAATGGCCAAACAGGTGACCGGCGCCCATATATTTTTAATAAGCAATAAAGATCTACTATAGAGGTAGGGCGGTTGTATGCATTAATGTGGTTTTAGTTTTATTATATAATAGGAATATCGATTATATTATAATAATTGTATACTATAATAGTGTATAGTCGCTACTCGTCATATTTGATATTTAAATTAAATTAAAAGAGTAGTTTGTATAAAACGCACAATATAATCATATTTAATTACATATGTATCCAGGATAAATTTATTATACTGGCATTGATCAAATATTAATTATAAGACCCTGGAATCTTTATCAGCTTTAAAGAGATTATATGACACAGCATAGGTAAAAAATTGTTTGAGTAAACGAAACTGCAGACCATTTATACTGTGATATAGAAGCTGTATTATACACATACAATATACCTAAGCTTTTTATGTCAAGGGCACTACTAACGTCCACTTACTTGAGAAGTCGAAAAAAGTAGATAGTCTAAGTTCGTTAACGATCACGTTCTGCCTTTATTATGGTAATTTTTTTTTTGCAAAGGTAATGCGCTTAAATATACTAATATATTTATATGGAATCCTATTTGAGTAATGTACAAGAATCATTCAGAAAAGTATTAATATTTTGTGTACACCAAAAAAAATATAGGAACCTTAGTGGTAGTATTAGCTAAGCATATGCTTCGAATAAACAAGATATTATCGATAGGTATTATAATTGATTTTATATTATTAAAATAAAATGAATGATAGGTATTATATAATATTATTATTATTTATACGGTGATAAATGGACGCTTTATTTTTAACAGTTCATATTATAGTAATTTTTTTAAATTACTCGTTTAAAAATAATTAAAGATCTAATGTTTGCATTGAATAGTATGAACTTCATAATTTGTAAAATGTGAGAAGAAAAATATTTTACGCATAGAATTATCAAACTGCATATTATATTAATGTATATAGAGAACCTAACTCTAATATAAATTACATTATATATTATACAAACATTAAACTTCCGGAGCTTGTTTTACTTTAATTACAATAATTCTCCATGGTAATAATTAGGGCTGCAATTTATATGCAATAAAAAATGGTAAAATATGCAAACATTTTTATTAGATTATACATCAAAAATTAACTATTTTTTAAATAAAAATCAAAAACTAATTACATATTACTAACTGTATTAGGTACCTACATGGATAACCAACCACTTGAGTTTATAATTACCTAGTGTATTTACAAAAATAATTATAGAAGTTCATTAAATAAATGATTATAAAATATAAGGTATAATAATATTTTAACAAAATTATATGCATATATTATCCAAAGTAGTAAAAAAAAAAAATATTGAATTAAATTTAAAATGAATCAAATCGCGGACATAGCAGACAACGACTCAATTTGGACTAATGGAAAATAAATAAATAAATAACATACAAATGCTTAGAAATCCTACAGTCATAAAAATACATTTTAAAATAATTTACTAGTACATAATATGCAGAGTGATTCACCAAGCATGTTCACCCCCTTTTTCTTCATTAATGCAGTTATTCAAAATATGATTTTTGGAATTTTTAAATATGACTACTTAAGTCCATATTTTTAAACTCTTAAGATTATTTGTCGGGTTTCGGCAGCCAAAGCGATAGCATGTGCGCTGTTCCGTAATGTGTTACGTATCTTATCAGTTTACTTTTAATTGCCATGGCTAATGTGGTTTCTCCTATCGTTATAATTAACAAAAACACCGTTCGCAAATCGAAAATGAATGCCACTCCAACAAAAAGAGCCCTCTCATCGTCATCGTCATCACCAAACTCTCCGGTCCACGAAGACAAAAAGAGCAAAGTTTTTGTTTCCCCAAACCGTTTTGAAGTCTTAAGAACGGAAGACGAAGAACTTGATATCGCCAACCTCCCCGTCTCACCGTCTCACCATCCAGCGTAACGTTGCCAGTTCAGAATAACCTCAAACTTCCTAACATCGTCCTAAAAAACGTAAGTGACTTTACTACTCTCAATAAGGATCTTACCCGTCTGGTGGGCCCAGAGAGCTTCACCTGCAAAGCTAAAAAATCCAGTTTAATTTTACGGACAAATACACGAGCTCAGTATGTAGCCATTAAATCTTATCTGATCAATGCCGCCTGTGATTTTCACTGTTATCAACCCCGCGCTCTCCAACCGTTCCGCGTTGTATTACGTCACCTCCACCACTCTACCACCACCGAGGACATCATTAATAGCCTAAGAGACCTTGGACACAAAGTTATCAGCATTTCAAACATACTCAATCGTACAAACAAATCGCCACTTCCGTTATTCAATATTTCCCTAGCCCGCAACAGCAACAACAACGACATTTTCAAAATAAACAAATTGTTTAACTCAATTGTGAAATTCGAGCATCCGATAAGGCCACTTGGTCCTCCCCAATGTCACTCTTGTCAAATGTATGGACATACACGCAATTATTGCCACCAACCTCCGCGTTGCGTGAAATGTGGGTTAAGCCACCTCACCGAAGATTGCTCTAAACCACGGGAAGAACCCGTTAAATGCGCCAACTGTAACGGTAACCACACTGCCAACTACAAAGGTTGTCAAATTTTTAAAAATTTACTAAAGCGCACCATTTACAAAGTCGCTTACAAAGCTGACAAAGTTGAAAAACCGAAAAAAACACCCCAGCCCACCATCTGCTGTACCTGTTGCACCACAAATCTTCAACGTCCCCAGTTACAACTCAAATCAAAAACCGACATCTTATGCCAAAGCCACAGCCAACTCTTCATCAGTCAATCAACCTCTCCACATCATCAACAAATTTATTGAAGATTTAAAATGTATTTTAAACCCTCTTCTATTGGCTCTTACTTCCCTAATTAACAAAATTACACTTCCCATTTCGTCCACTCCATGACATCCCTCACCCCAAGTTAGAGGGTACCCACACTGGTGGGCCTCCCTCCTCAAGCCATTCATGTTATTATTGTTTCTTTCATTACCTAATTTACTTATTGTATCATAAAAATTACAGATTGTAAATATTCTATTTATCTAATAAAAAAAAAAAAAAAAAAACAAAAAAAAGATTATTTGTACCTACTACTTTATGAGTGTTCAGTGGGTATACAAACTTCTTTTTTTTAAATAAGAAAGCCATAATTCTACTGTAAATTATTAGCGATTAATTTTTCTGAAAATTATTACGTATCAAAATAAAAATTAAAAACAGACGTTTTTGAATTTGTGTACTAAAAGCATAATAGGTCCATGATATTAGATTTGGAATATTAGGGGCAACGGTGAATTGAAAATTATAGTACCTATAATATAATAGGTACTAAATAATATTATACTATAATATTATATAATAGTATAATATTATTTAATTTATCAATGATTTTTATTTATAAAAATGTTCGAACTATAATAAATACTAGAATCAATATAAAATATTATATTTTATATTTTTGTAAGACTATTTTTAAGGATTATTATAAATATTTGAGGTACTGAGATACTCGAATTTTGAACTAGATACTTACAAAAAAAATTTTAAATTAATTTACATTAAAAAATGACAACTGTCAAATGAGGACCCCTATCTTTTCTTAGTATATAAAACCATATAGTATGCACTTGTTGCTTAATAATTATTATGTTTTACATAATATTTACATACATAATGTGTACCCTAATTATAGGTACTTGGGTGCAAGCCCGTTTTTCTATAAAATAAAAAAGGGGTTCTCATTTGAAAAACAGAAGCTTGTAATTTGTATCTCCACAGGACACTGTTTAAGTTGTAAAACAAATATTAAGAATTGGAAAATGTGGTCTTTTAGTATACTTAAAATTTCCAAAATTCAGAATTTGAATAAATTGATTGTTAAAGGAAAATGAGGGTGAGCATACTTGAATCACCCTGTATATTTGTACCTACATGATAAAATTAAAAGTTAAGTATTTTAAGTATGAAATACATTTTATTTGATTATCATACATTATTTTAATATTAGATTTCCAGCGGCGCCTATTGGTTATATGGTTTTTTATTTTTAAATTTTAATATTTTACACAAAAGCTTGAGATAAAGATAAACATTAAAATTCTCATAATAACACCGCTTTTTGAAGAAATCAAATACAAATAAGGTCTAATATATCTTATTAGTATTATGTTTAGTTGTTTAGGCGTTTGGTTAGTAAAAAAATAAAATAAAAGGATTCCACGTAAGTACGTAGTAAACCGTTAAAATTGGAATTATACAAGTTTTACGCGTTATAAATAAATAATAATAGAGTACCTACAGTCTTGTACATAAGACTGTCAAACACTATATTTAATATAGATACATACGTTTTGGTTAGGTTGTTTTCTTATAAAATAATAATTAACATTTATGAGTTTAAAAAAAAAACGTGGTCTTTCATAAAGCATAATATGACGCAACAGTAACTGCCAACTGACAATAATGCTGATAGGTACATCGGACATAATATTATGAAAATACTAAATGGACATCTTTCTCACCACCACATACAGTATACAATAATGATAATAATAGTAATCAATGACTTGGTGAAAGGGGTTTTTTAACGCTTAGGCATCACGGAGAACTTTTTCTTGGGTGGATGGATGAGTAAATTATTATGGTAAGTAAAATTAGTTTTTGTTTTCTTCAACTTGTGCAGTATTTAAATACTGGGGTACTGGTCACTGGTGGCTTAGTGAAATAAGTGTTTTGGTGTAGGTTGGTATAGGTAATGAAATATTTGTTGTATAACCTGGTGTATGCCACTACACCACACCACTGGTAGGCTAGTAGTATAATATAATAATAATAATATCCTTCATATTATATTAATAAACATATTACACACAATATTATAATCACGTATGTACTAGCTAAAAAGTATAAAAAAATAAAGTTATATAATTAAAAATTTGTATTTTAATTTAAAACATGGAAATTATGATTTACGAACCATACAAACCATACATTTAGAATAAAATGAGTACATGCTCTTGAATAGGTGTATCTATTTTTTGGTAGGTAGAATACAAATACGTTTAAAATATTACTATACGATGATATTATAATTCTAATGCATTTTATATATTATTATGCATTGTATAATACAATTAGCGTACGAATTCGTGATATTTTGTGGCTATAGAATTTCAGGTCAATACCATACAAGTTAGCTATAATTACAAGGACGTTTAATGTATAGTTCCACTTCAATAATTTGTATATTATCTTAGTTACCAATTTATGAATGCACATAATATACAGGTATTATAGCCTATCTTTCTCCCTAAGGTCTTATACATAGATTACAGTATCATAATGATATGTATTACTTACCATGTATACGTATTTAGAAAAAATATAAACATTAAATGTGAAATTCGCTAAAATTAAAACCATACATAACTACTACTTACTAAGGTGCTAAGTAATTCAAAATATAAAATTTCTGTGTTTTGGAGAATTATTATTCGAATCAACGATTCCATAAATATATTATGTGAATAATTACCTACTACAACTGTAGAAAATGAATTTACTAATTGATTAACATCTTTTCTGATTATTTTTTGAAGTTAAACTTCTTATGTGAGGGGTATTGAAAAAAAAGAGAGTGACGCTCGGGCGTCACGGACGCTCGGGCGTCACGGACGCTCGCGCGTCACGAAAACGGTACGATGTTTTGTTTATAAAGTTTTTGATATTTTCCGTTTCAATATTTTGTAATCTTTTTGGAAACATATCATATGATATTATAAACAAACCAGTATAAACGTATAAACCATGATAAAATAACATGGTATGATGGCAACGAACTGAATATCGTCGGAGTTTGCGCATTTCATTGTATCCAGTTCTCCTCATAATGCACTATGTATATATATTGATCATGAAAACCAATGAAAAGCGGCGAACTGGATACAGCTCTGTATGATGGTCGGCGGGGTAAGGGGTATGCGTATCATAAAGTTGCCAGCATACCATGTTATTTTATCATGGTATAAACAATATTCCGTAGTCAAGTTGATAAAAGCGAAAACGCATATATAATAAATATTCCAGAGTGCGCGATAATATAATATAATATAATATAATATACTATTTTTAGGTGAGTCAAATTATGTATATTCAAAATATAACTCGATGAATTTCATCATATTATATGACTATACTATAAGTATTTAATAAATAATAATAATAATAATAATTAATATTTAGTTAATATTTGACACATTTACAATGACCAACGCACCTATATTTTTCAAATAGTATATAATACTCTGATGGTTCAATTGTATAATGATATGACATAATTTGATATTACTCAATATATATGTCTATGGTCTATTTTCTTTCTTTTTCACTCACTCACGTGTACCATTCAAAAGAAGTTTAACTTCCCGCGCGCGTACTGGTAACACACATACTTTTTTTTTTTTTTTGTAAACTCAGTTGTTATAGAGTTTACTAATGAGTAAACTATCTTGAATTTAAATATTTTTTGCTTTTAGTATAATATGTAATTATATCACAAACTTTAAAACGTATACATTATTTTTCAAAAAGTAACTTGTCTAATCCTCATTTATTTTAGGGTATTGTAGAAACGCATTCATTTACTAAATAGTTTCTCTCACTGGATAGAGTGTTTTTTTATTCATCTAATATTAGTACGGTTAGGTTAGGTTAGGATTTTGTATTAATTGATTATATTAATCTACCATAGGTGGAATACGATAAACTTGGTATAACTTTGATACTTTAGAGTTAAATCATACAATTACGTACAATAACAGCACGGGGTCCGCGATTTACCGCAGGTAGATTGCCTACCTGATAATATACTGCTGCAAATCAGAATATGTATTCCGGGCAACGGAAAAGTTAAGATACATTTTGAACACCATACACCGAATATTAAATAACGAATTGAACAAAATTTGAGTCATATAGTGTTGGCACATTTAACGAGCAACGGAGTGCACGGGATCAGTTATGTTATGTATAATAATAATATCATAAATATAAAACAACTAAATTATTATAACATAATAGGTACCAATTTTTTTGTTATAGAAATTGTTAAACCACCATATAATTTATGCTCGAAAATTAAACTAGTTTTTAACAAAGATAATTATTTTTTTATATATATTTAAATATTATTTGAGAATATAAAAACTTACTCAAATCCGGTAAGAATATTGAGAAGGGTTGATTTTCCAGCACCAGATGGTCCCATAATTACAGTGAGTTCGCCACTGTTGAAGCGTCCAGAAACGCCTTTGAGTACTTGTTTTTTTTCTAAATAATAAAAAACATGTAACATAATTAACATATTACATTAAACAACAAATACTGAAATACCTATATTTTCATCTTACAAAAAATGAAATAGTATCGTATTATTATATTATCACTATATCTGCAGGTATATATAGTACGTACCGACCAGATACCAAATAGTAATGTATAGTAATAATAATTGCTTGATAAAATAATGTTTATAATATATTACAATTTTGCATACTGTTCAGATTTAGATACTTATGTTGTGTGAAATATAGATAGACATAGAAAAGTTGAATAGGCGTTTCGTGTAAATGTTTGAAAACAATATAAAATGGGAGGAATTATTTCATGCTGCGGGCCTGAAACCGGAGTCTGAGCCCACCTGTATAATACACGAGTAGGTAAATTTACAGTTATCTTTCATTAATTTGGTTTCGTCATTATCATTGACACAGTCACTACTGTGATGTATTTAATTATTTTCATTTTTAAAAAATATTTTATTAAACGTAAATTTATAAATCTACATTATTAATTCATCGTTCGTCGATAAAAATGTGTAAGATATATTTTATAGTCACATTGTACACCAAATAAATTCAATATTAAAAGTTAGTTAAAAGTACTAATTACTGACCTCGAATCCTATGCCTCACATATTAAATCAATGCCACAATATTTAATTGTAATAATATAACATTTAACTATCATACTTAATGCCAACATTATTCGTCATTTATTATTGTTATTATTATTATCTATAATATTATATGGTTGTCAGGCTAAATGATATATAACAATTAACATAGGACACGGTATTAAACCTTAATACTCAAAATGGTCCAGGGCTTTGCACCGGAATCATTTTTTCGGGTTTCGGCTGTTGGAAGAAAATTCGGGTTATTGAATTCGGGTGTTACGGGTTAATACACTTTTCTGGTTAGGGTTAAATACAAATTTATTTGGGTTAATTAAGGTTAATTCGGGTGTTAAAAAAACAGATGTTGTATTTCAATTAACATGAGATTTTCAATGCAAATTTGATATTGTAATCTGATTTTATATTTAAAGTAAACATAATGAAAAAAATAAAAAAATAAAATTAAATACTAATACTTATTAGTTATTGGTTTATTACTTATTACTTATCTAGTACTTACTCAGTCCTTTTTCTACAGAAGAAAGTTCTCGCTTATTACATATTTTAATTTTTAACTAAACGTATTTTCGTTATATTTATTTTTGATTAAGAATGTTAGACAACACAATTACTAATGTCTATTATTGAATATTGTGAAATAAAATAAAACAATCATCTAGCATCAAGGTCTTTTTTAATATTTAATTAATTATTTTGTATTATTTTGTTGGTTACAAAAAAATAAATTGAGTTATTCGTTACACACTTACACTACTATCTTCTTATCTATTTAGTCGCACTAGTTGCAAAAAATACATACAAATTGATATGCCATTTAATTTTCAATAATTCGGGTTTCGGGTTACGTTCGGGTGCAAAGCCCTGCAGAATACATTGTAATATTTTTAGGATACCATATTATTATGCGTTGTAAGTTATAAGTTAACATTTATAGAGATAATTTATAATTTTTATGTCTGGCGATAATAAGTAATTACTGCCTATGTCCTATACAGTGCGTTTCGCTTGCTATATTTTTGTAAGCCGCTCCAGAAGTTCGGCTGCATCTAAATGGTTTTCTGATTAATATCTATGTACCATACTTAACAGGAGACACATTGATTTTGGCGATTGAATTATGTGATTCACATAATTAAAATAATACCTATATAATTCACATTTATGTTAACTTGGCGACCATGTAATACTAACGAATATTGTAAGATGTATTCACTGATTATAGACTATGTAGTAGTATTATTATATTCTGTGGTAGTAGGTATATATTATGGATATATCCATTGTATGTTGTGCTGCTTATTATAATATAGATATAGGTAGTTAATAGTTTATTCAGGTTTTGTGCATCCAAATTCCGAGCATAATATTAGATACCTGTTTTACCACACATAGGTCAAGATTTGTTCAATTTAACTATTTAATAATTCCATTAAGGATAAATATTAAGTTACTAAGTATTATTATTCCGAAATCTAAATACATGTTTGAATGAGTCCATACAACATAAAGTATAATTATAAGCAAAATCAACAGTAAATACATTTACATAGCTTAGTCCCTACCTACCTATACACTTCAAAACAATTTCAGACAAAAAATACTAAGCATTTTCTAAACTCAAATCTACAAAACACATTGAAATTTAATACGCGTTAAATTTGAAATTACTACATTAATGAATGTAAATGAAAGTAAACTCTGATGACTGATGAGGTACTAATTTACTTTTAATTGTTATATAGTTTATAGTTAAATTAGTTTAGAAAATGTATTGTATATAAACGTTCATTTAATAATGACCGCTTAAGATCTACCTATACTAAAAATATGAAACCTACGAATCTATTATTGGGTCTGATACTACATATTGTAAGATCTGCAGTTTTAACCTGAGATGCACACTGCACACGTGACACGCCATCATACTATTCAAATGTATACCATTATAATGTTATATTATTTAATATAACATTTTATACTTCGTTTCTCATCACACTTATGATAACTAGGTTTTCAATTACTTCAAATTTATTCAGGTATATGAGTAGGTACCTAACTTTTTACGTCAACTCAAATTACTATCATTAGATTAATTAAAGTATTATAACTATTAACTATTATTAATTTTTTTGTATATTACATATTTTATCATTTTGAAACATAAAAGGAGCTAGAGTGTTTAAATAAGTCACAATAAAACAATTAATAAAAAATAAACTCTATTTTTGTGCTTTAGTAAAAATGACTTAGAGTAGACTATAATTTTTTACTTAAAATAAGGAATAATTTTTATTGTTAAAACAAATTGAACTTGTGGCTTATATAGTATGATTTATATTTTTATATCAAGAAAAATTAGAGAATTATTGAAAATTTAAATTTCATTATAATAACTAGTTTTTTTTATTTTTTTTTCTAATGATCATTAAAAGTAAGTATATTTTGGAGTTCATAAATCATAATATTTGGTGACATTATTTAATTGTAAGCCAAATTTTCAAATATTATCGTTGCCTAAAATGTCTTTTTTTAAATTGTTATTAATGAATATTGTTTTAAGTAAAAATAGAAGATTAAATTTCTCTACTTAATATTTGTTTAATGTTTTAGACAACAAAATACGTCGTAATTACACGTGTGAATACTACAAATGTCTTTCTGCAATATAGTTGTTACGGAAATACTCGTACGTTGTATTGGACTTGGATATAACTAAACAGAACCGGAAGGAAACTAAAGTCAATATAAATTCGTTTTCTCTTTTAACTGACAACAAGGTAGCTAGTTCGTCACGGTATATAATATACCATGTATTTTGAATAAAAAAAAAAAAACAGATAGGTATAACGAATTGTGCAGTTTGTTTCTAATCAAATGAATCGTTTAGATGTAAAATAATTTACTAAACACAAATATAATGATTTATAAAATTTGTTACGTCAAAAATTTATTTTATTTGAAAAAATAACTATTTAATTTTCTCTCAGAAAAAAAATATAGAAAGAAATGATTACCTATAAAGAATTTATGAGTTAAATTAAATGTCAGTGTTTGAGGGTAAGCTATAGGTATACTTAGTACCTACACAAATATAATATAGTTCATTATAATTACTATAGGTAATATTACATTTTGGATGAATCAAAAAAATGTACTACACAAACATCGTCAACAAAAAATTGTATAAGACATATTTAGGAAGGAAATGATAATATTATATAGATAGGTACTAACCTTATTTTGGGATGTATTTAATGATAAATAATTTAATTTATAATGGTCAACCAAATCTTTAAAGTAAATAAAACATACCTACTTATTATTGGAGAAAAATACATTGCAGCAAGTGAAATGTTAAAACTAGTTATAATAGTAGATTGACAATATATAATTTAAGTACTATAGGTACCTAATTACTATAAATTCTAGGTTTCATTTGGGTTTGGTGGTAAAAAAAATCAAGTTAAATATATAATAAAACGATTTTTTTGAGTAAAATATTTTAATGAGGTGGATCTGAGACTTGAAAAAAAAGCGAAGAACTATCTCGGCAGAGTATATAGGTAATGCACATTATATTTAATGTATATAGTAATATTATAGGGTCTAAAAGTTATGTTACGGCTCAAGGGCTGGTTCTGGCTCATTAAGCTTTTTGAGCCGGCTTGCCAAGCTGATTGATATTTTGATCTTAAACTCAATATCTGAGTTTTTATTGTGATGAAATTGGTTAAATTCAATTAGCAAATAATAATAAAAGGGTTGTTTTCTTTTGAAAAATTATATTGGTGAACTAAAATGATAATTCTTTCTTTTCAATCTCATTACCTATCTACGAACCGGCAAATAATTTTGGCCCACAATGTCAAAATGCATCTTAGATTCAGCTAAAAAAAGGCTGGAGTTTTCTGCTATATATTGCATTTAATATAAACGAGACAATAGTTTATTTTTATACATATAGCGTTGGTGAAATTATTTTAAATAGAGTTCTCCACGGTGATGGACTACTTGTTAAAATATTATCAGGCTGGAGATCAACAATAACTATGCACGCATTTCTTCGACGTTCTATGAAGGAGATTAAAAACGTTCTCAAAAACTAAACTAGAAAATTCAAAAAATGATCCAAATATGTACAAAATAATATGGCGTAATTGAATATCTGTATCTATGCACAAAATGTTTAGATCATATTTCTTACTCCGGAATAATAAGTATTCAACTGTTCCCAGTTATATGTAGTGCTGTAGTGCGTGAATAACACGGTTGTAAAAATATAATTTGGCACCGGTTAGAATCTAAAACAGTCTAAGAACGCAAGTATATATAGGTACAGCGTTATTTTCACTAATTATACAATAATAATAACATAGAACGATAATTTCGATATACTTAAATAATTGTTATCGATCAATCACTCGAAAAGTTTTACTTTCAGTTTCATCTGCTATCATTATAATAGGTGGTATAATAGTAGTATACCTATAATTTGTCATACCTAACTAATAATTATCAAGCGAAATGTTGTTCCGTGGGCCGATACATACACACCAAACAATCACGTACCATAATATAGTAGGTCAATGCTAATCAAGGTTACGACTTGCGAATGTCTTTATGTAACACTACCAAATATATAAATGATTCTGTACATTATATATTATTATTAGTTTTTGAATTCGTAATTGAATATATAGGCATGTATATTTTTTACCTCTGCGCAACGTCCCGACGTCTACGGTGAACTGGATGTCCGTAAATGTGATGTCGATCGGATTGTTTTTGGGTAGGTGCATGAGTACCATTCGGTTAGCAGACGCCATGTTTTAATCCGAATTGACTAGTACTCGTGTTTTTTTTTTGTCTGATCCGTGGACTGGATTATTTCTATAGGGTGGTGTCTGTCTTAACGTTGTTTCGTATATACGGCGAACGTATAATTCATCATAGGATTGTGTCAACCATTAGGCAACCTGTGAACCAAAACAATTTTACGTGTCATTACATTTAAAAAATAAAACACAACAAAACGAAAACAGACAATTTAATCGTTAGATTGGTTAGTAGTTAATGTGACCCGTCCCTCCTACTATAGTCCCAAATCGTTTTAATTTGAAGGAAAGCCGAAATAACAGTTTCTAGCACCATAATCATTTCCGCGAGATTACAATCAAATTTATTAAAATCATTTTATTGTGTTAAACAGTAACGCAGCACTGTGACAAAATATTAACTTTCATTTTTCTAAACATGTCTAGTCCAATATTATATTGTTTGTAAGACTGCAAGAAACAAAAGTTTACGAGTTAATTTTTACTGTAGATATTATTTAAACGAATACTATCTATTGGGTGAAAACGAAACGAAATGTCAAGGATTACTATGTTATATATATATATATTTCATTGGTAAATATCTGAAAAATATTTAGAGCCTTAAATAGTTATTTACAATATATTATGTTAAATGGTCAGTATATTATATATTATAATGTATAGCTTAATAAATTATGTAATCAAATAATATCTCGAATAATATATTTAACATTATAACTATTATATTATTATTAATACGAACACTATTAATTGCACTAATAGTCTAGTAATATAGTGTAACATTAATTACTAGAATTAATCAGTGGAATAATTACACAAATTGTCATCATTAAAAGGGTGTTAAGTAATAAAACCAATTGTGAATAAGTGCGAGTAGAAAATAACTATATTATATTATGAACTTACGAATGTTATCGAATAGACATTAAATTTGTATTTTAATATTGTTAACATAATTTTTAAGTTCATAACAATAATTATATTAAATATTATAGTTCACACGAAATTAAGATACAATTTCAGAATAAGGCATAACTATAGGAGATATAGGAAGTTTATAGAAAATAATCTAAACTCAATGACTTATCTGTTCTATGTAGGTAGTCAATTTACTTCATCAAGTACATTATTATTTATTACTAAGTATGTACCTACAATTTTTGTACTGAACATATACAAGAACATCGGCGAAACTGCTGGGAGGGGAATGCTGGGGGTAGCTAGGAGTACCTTTGGAATTTAAACCAAGTCCTTCCAAAAAAAAAAACTTTGTCATCTATTCTATGTGTGTATATTGTAAAAATGTGATTGGTTATTTTTCTTCAATATACAATAAACATTAAAAGATAATAAGATTAATGATGATGCTAAATCAAAATATTATAGATTTATAAATATCAATAACCCATAGATAATTATAAAAAATAAAATGTGCATTCTGATGAATAAAAAAAATATGTATTTATTTCATTCTTTACATTTGATTTTTGAAAATTATTTCTTAATGACAAGGGGGGAGGAGGTTAACTGAATGGCTTATTTTGGACCTTAATTTTCCAGGACTCTAGGTCCTGTAGTTACTAAATTTTATAAAGGTTAAGTAGGTGCATCATTAAAAAATATTATAGATATGCACAGTAAATTAATAAGTATGGAAATAAAATAATTTAAATAATTCAAACGTCTCCGCAGTTATGTTTGACCTCCCATGATTGAAATATAATATTTATCTGTAATATTACTTTATGCATCGTTATACATTGTACCAAATACGAATTACAATATACTATATATGAGACGCATACGAATATAAGATGTTATATCTGTATACAGCAGTATATTCAGAGTGTATCACGATAGGATTTAGATATATTTCCATGTAATTTTATTGAATATTGTCAAACATATTAAACACTGCCAATATAGCTATATAATACGTCAATGGAAGGGTAGAACTTTCTGGAATATCTCTTATGTTATGTAGGGGGCTTCACCATGTTCGTATTCGAATACATATACCCATTTTGTGCCTCAGATTTATGACGGGCATAACTATGATATGAATACTTAATTTAAATGATTAATTTGATTTTTAAAATAATATTTACATAAATTAATACTAATTATAAATTATAAATATCAAATTATTCAAAACAAGATAATCACGATTTTAGTTTTAAGTTTAGGTAAATAAAAAAACACTATATATTTTAATAATAGTTATTAAGCGTTTTAAATGGATTATAGATACATTAATTTTCTCAAAAAGCAATTCGTTTAAATGGAAAAAAAAGTTATTGACGGAGACAAAATGTCGGTGAAAAATCCTGTACAGCGCTTTTTACAGCAGTATATTGTGTATTCATATATTATATAATATATTTTGTGAATTTGTGATACCATATTGTGAGAACATTTCCAAAAATAAGTTTCTAAAAAAAATACTTAAACATATTCTAAAATATTCAAATACATTTTATAAGGCCACAGTCAAGGGAAATACTCAGCTCTCCCAAAAATTTCAGGAAATACGTATTATTTTTAAGAATAATAACAATGTATTAATGGAAGTTGTATGGAGGCTACTGCAAAAGCCTAAATTGTTGTATACCCACTACTTCCGGCTTCCGCAAACCAAGCTTATGAGGGATCCTAATTATTCCTAATTAAGCTTAACATGTATCATGTATCCCCCAAAGAAAAATCCTGGTTGCAAAACTGCATACAGCTTATGACATTCTATTAGACTACTATGTACGAGCTGTACCTACCTATATTGTTCCGATCTTGGAACATTTTTATAAGTAATGTAACCAAAATGAACATGTCTGAGATTCATTTTTAAATTATAAAATTTCTGAAATTTTTGGAAATTTAGTATTTTAGTGGGTGGCGGGTGCAACTAAAACTAGATGAATATCTACCTATTATGATAATTTCTAAGTTTTTTTACTACATTGTATATTCTATACACTATACATTTCCTCGGAATTTTATAAAACGGGCAGTTTTCTACTTTTCGCCAGTACAACATAGTACATACCTATAATACGAGCGATTTTATTAATTTTTATAGAAATAACGGAAACTTAATATGTATATCTCTTGACCATCGTCAAGGTTTCCACCATAATTTGTAAACACATGATACACTATATTATTACTTATTATGCCGTGTTCGCACACCGGCCACATGTAAAATATACGTCATATTATGCTAACATATAGGAGGTAAGTACCTTCAGTGTACATATACAATACAATATCGTGTATGCATAGGTAATATATTCATACACCACCCTTTTCGCCGCAACCGATATTTTATGGTTTTATACCATTATTATTATCATTATTACATTTTGTGCAAAACTAGGTTCGATCTGCAGCTGCAGTAAACGGCGAACGGGTTAAGTAACCGCGTGCGCGTACCTATAGGCTATATGTACCTACCGCGCCAGTGTTTCGCGCGTTTTATACGCGAGGCCGACGAAATTACAGGTTTCTCAGAGCATCGAGGAGGCTGTGCGCATTCACGCGTGTCGACACTATCGCCGCCGCCATCATGACAATCTCTGCAGCGGAGGAGTTGCTCAACGATATACTAGACTGCCGACGACACACATATGTTTTATTTGTATACGCTGCATAGATAGGGCACAATCATCGTAATAATAATAGTATATACGTACATGTGTGTATAATATTATTACCGCAGCTATTATATAATATATTATACATTTTTATCCACAGCGCAGCATTTACGATGGATCCCGGTCCGTCCGTCATATAGCGCTGAGGTACATGATCGTACATTTGTCATCGTTAACCCGCGAGGTGGACGGACGATACGTGAGTATTCGTTTCAAAACCGTCGGAATTAGATGTAGGTGTGTAAATGAGAGACAGAGATAAATTTAATTTGCGAAGATCCATTCCGATCTGCGGCTCCGAGATTTATTTTTTTGAAAACGTTATAACTTATAACGCATAATATTACGGCTGTATTAAGCTGATTGTATATGCAAGACGTTTAGCCGATGTCCAGGGTCGATATTTACCGTAATGAACATTTAACATTGTCTATAAATGAGCCAAAATCGTTTGACCTTCGCTCCCCCGTGTACCTATATAAAATAAAAATCAATACATCATCTACAATAACTGTGTCGATATTGAACGTATGTACCAATATTATATCGTTGTCACAGTAGTAGCTGGTAGGTACCTACCAATATATATCATGTATTATTGTATCTATATATTATCAAATAACCAGTTACATTTTATAAATAAGATATTGACTTCAATGACATAGAACCATGAAACCTCATAAAGCACGTGAATATTATATTAAAACAGGTACCTTACACTACAGTATATAGTATAATATACACCTATGAATTCTAGGTTAAAAGCTCTTCGGGAAACTTCAAAAACTCATTTTAAATACTTTCAATATATTTGTTTATTTATTATATGTATGACCATTCATCCCATCGATGGGGCCCCTCCACATGTTTGCTTGTTTTAATGAAATAGTGTACTCTGTCCAATTCATAGGGACCCCATTGTCCAGGGCCTCAAAAAGGTTAAAGACGGACCTGCGTCTGACATGTGTAGGTATAGATTCGTTTGGAATTTGAATGCCATCACAAAGAAGTTTTTGTTGTTTATATAACATATTATAACATACATTTAAAATTAAACTTAAGACCTGCGGACCGTTCAACGCGTACAGCTGTTATGAAATTCATTTCTCAACTATTAATGGTTTCAAGCATTCGTGAATTGCAAAGCAGTTACCTTTTAATGACTTTCTACAGACGAAACAACATAAAAGTATAAATTTAAAATTAATATTTTAAATTGTCTTACTAGACGAAGCTTCATCACAGATTTTTTTTTCAACTTAACAGGAGAAATATTATAGAATATTTGTCTTCCTGTGGTTTCCTAAGTCTCGAAGTATTAGGTACAACTGTGTCATA